TTTTCTTTAATCTGCACAGCTCCCCGCCCAACGTCACACAGTTTGCAGGAAGGGTTTTTATGTTTTCTATGATTTTTGAAAAGAAGGTGTGAAATTGGAGGTGAAGAAAGGTCAGGTTAAGTTAAAAACTGAGGCAAAACATCTCTGCCTTATTGATTTTCTTGGTCAATCAATCAAGACCTCATGCTGTGCTACATAACTTTCGCTGGACTTGAAAATTCATTTCCAAATTGATGCCAAATGCATTATGCAGAATGACAAGGAAATGTTTATAGAGCAAAGCACAAGGCATTAATAATTCTTCTATTTGTGAAAAGAGGCAGCCATAAAATGAGGGGAATGGAATGAAGATACTTCTGATGTGTTATATAGCTTTTAAAGGCTCATGCGAAAGGTATCTGTATTCATGAAGCAGTGCTGTAGTCTAAAAAAGTAGCCTCGCTTTGACTCTTACTCTTGTTTTATTTGTGATACAGTGAACAAAAGTTAGTAAGAAAGTTATCTCACTGAAATGTTAATTTGCTGAGTGCTTTCCAAGTGAGAATGGAATAGATTAACAAACAAATAAAAAGAAATCACAGCATGAAATACACAGCAGCAGGAGAACCGAACCAAAATAAATCACAACACAATCACGACAGAGATGGAGATGAGGGATGCTCCAAAACAGCTCATTTCCCCGGTTGTTTGAACAGAAATTTAATTCTAACAAGGTGTCTGGTTCAAATGAAAAAAAATACTCAGAAAACAAAACAAATTTAGCAAAATCTGTGAGTAAATTAAGTCAAAACGGTTTGCAGAGTGTATCTAACACTAGCAGAGTTAGCACCCCCAGTCTTCGCCCTCTTTGCACATCAGCATCCGTGTGTTTGTGCTTGTTACTGTGGTACACATTACATGTGAAGATATTTTCATTCCATACTGAAAAAGTAACTGTTTATTTTACACACATTTGAGGTATGAAGGAACTTTGGTTCATGAAGAGAATGGAGAGGGGAATTAATGAGCCGGGTGCGTCGTGCCCGGATGACTTTTTAGAGGGACCGCCCCCTCCTCAGAGAAAATTCGGGAAGGAAATGAATGGCTCGGGGCTCCATCTTCTGAACTTTCCTACTGTTTTTTTTTTCAGAGTGAGAGGCGCTGAGCCAAAAATCATGTGTTACGGTAAAACTTACTACCTGTAACCTGTAACCTGTCATCGATCCGCTTGGGTAAACCAGGAAGATACAACTTTATCTCTATTTCTGAATCAGAGCACTGCTAGACTGTGCCGTGCTACAAGATGCAACATCATCTCTGCTTGTTCACATCCAGGTAGTAGAACATTTCAGTATTAGGGGGTGAGGCCCCAGCTAGTGGTGTTTGTCTTTGCTTTGACACAAAGGTGGTTGATCAGGCCTACAACAACAAAAACCAACAGATAACTCTGTCGCAGACAAACATGGTTGATCATTTGAAATCATTTGGTTGATTAAGGATGAATAAATCCCTACAGAAGTTTCTGAAACCCCTTGATAAAGTAGGGATACTCAGCAGATATGGTGGATTGTGAAAAATGACTGAAGAAGTCATTAACCAGTATGATAAAGATCATTAAAGCTCCTTAATGGGAGAACAGGGTAATTTTAAAAGAGTTAGTTCAAGTGGATAAACTGCATCAGGTCAGTAAAACACAGCTGCGCTGTAAAATTACTCATGGAAAACTAAACAAACAGCTCAGCCTGAGTTTAGGGACTGTGCTGAGTAATTCTGCAAATCTGAAATGGTGCTGAGAGAAACGTTTGGACGCTTTTCCATCACCATTCCTTTACCACAAATTCCAATCCTGTAACACACCGGAGAAACTTGAAGCCATGTGAGGGGAAAACTGATGGATGTTTCGGCCTCGATCTGCGGTGTGTCACACATCCAAAGTTAACCTCAGCGCTGCACAGAGCAAAAAGCAGTGTCAAACTGTCAGCATATTTGTTACTGAGGCTGGTAGTGCTGCACAAAACTTCCACTTGGTTCGATGTTTTGAGTCTTTCATCAGAGCCAGGTGTTCCCTGGAGAGACTCAGCGGCCTGAATTCCCAAACTCACATACAGGAAACAGTCAGTGCCCTTTTAACCCCCTCTGCTGTGTGTGGTTACATGTGTGTTTAAGAGTTATTTCATCCTCCTCTTTGGCTGATGCGTCTCTTTCCCCTCCACCTGGAAAAAGTGACTCATTTCAGTGAAAGTGTTTGCTCATGTAGGGGAGCACAGCACAGAGGTACATTTCAGCATTTCTCCAGCGTCATAGTCCAGGGAATCTAGATCTTGCACTTTCCTCTTTCTGAACCGATCGCCTGCAGCCATAGCAGCAAAATTTACACTCAACAGATGAGTCTGCTGGATTGTCTTGAGGTGAGCATAAAATATAGTCTCAGAAGTCTCGGCTAACATTTTTCAGTCCTAAATGAACTGTTTCCACATGCTGTACCAGATGGTTGAGCAGCTTGCTGTAGCGTGGAATCACAAAGCCAGACAAACTGTAATACGATCCTGAGAAAGCTTTAAGGGCTGGAGGAATAAGGAACATTCATATTTGATTATTTCGCTGCCAACTGCCAGATTTTGTTTTTCAGCTGCGTGGATTAGGGGGTAATTTGTCTAGGAGCTTTAGCTGGTAAATAAGTTCATTCATCAGTGCAAAATTCAGTGAATATGCCCTCTGTGTGGCTTCCTTTACCTGCATACATCCATTTAAGATCAGCTAATAGGGTGGCACTAAAATGCAAAGCTGGATAAACTCTCACAAAGTGTTTTCAGTCGAGTTTTAAAGCCAGACAAAATCAGTAACAGTCCTATTTCATTATAAGACGATTGTTTGTAAGCCACAGTTGGATTTGTTTATCCTTTATCATACATTTAATATCAGGGCTCTCCCAATCCACCAGTGGACATCTGCTACTAGCTGGCCCTCTGCTTATCATGACAAATTATAATGGCTTTAATGCTCCTCATTTCCCTCTGCAACATGTTAATGATCAGCTGCAAAAACCCCTAGGCAAAGAAACAGAAGCACATAAAACTTGAACTCTCACAGGCAGTAGCATCCAAGTCTGCTGAAAATAAAGACAGAACTTATAAAAGAAGCCAAATCTACCAAGGGAGAAATTAAAGCTCCGCAGGGAATTTGGATGACTCACTATCAGCCAAGCAAAACACCAGACTGAAACAAACACTCGCAGACGCACACTTTTCCACGGTCTCGGCGTGTCTAGTTCCAAAGGGGCAGATTTTTGTCAGCAACAAAAGATGGTCGTCCACAACTGCTGTCTGTTCTTAAACTTGGTCACCTCCCACACATGCAGTAATGAGTTTTTGGAAAATGTTCTTGCTATGTGGGCCTGTCTGAACAAGAAAGAGGTTGCGCTACTTTTTTACGGTTAAATAAAGGAAGGCTGTTGTGACTCAACTTTTTACAGATATATTGGAGAATTGGGACATGGGAGTCTTATAAAAACCACAAAATATGGTTAGTTCTAGTGTAACAAGTCCAGTCAACTTGGCAATGTAGAACTGTTCAAATAGCTAAGATAGGTTTAGCCATACAATTTCACTGGTAATCTTCTTACTTTAGTTCCTAACCATAATTACATATGATTTGGGTCATACAGGCTTACCTTAAACTTGTGTTTCCATACACAGAGTATTCGGCCAATGAGAGAGGGGGGTGGGGGAAAAATACAAGTGAGAAGTTTATTCTTTGTTATGCATTTTTGGGGAAAAAAGTTGAAATGAAGTCAAATGCTTACGACCACTAGATGTACAAAACGCCATCTGGTTCTGAAATTATGTTTAAGCGTCAAGCGTATTGTGTACAACTTTGTGTTGCATCTGCAAATTGTGGAAAAACAAAAGGGCTTTCTGATAGCAAAGTGCTAAACAATCAATCCAGAGGGAACTGTAGCCTAGCTTGCTTGTCCATACCATGACATTTTCTCATGTAAAATTAAGTTAGGGTCAAACACATCATAACACCAAGTTAGACACCCCGTCGAGAGATGAATCTTGTCGACTGCTTCTCTAGTTATACCAACTTTAGTAATGACTGCAGATAGCAATACAGAGAGCCACGCGCTCAACCAAACACAACACACCCTCTCTCTTGCAGTAGCCACTTGTTTGTATGGAGGCCTCTGGGCAAGTCCATCGACTGCAGCGGGGTGACGCAGCTCAAGGAAGAACATTTATGATTAGACCGAGACGCTAAAGCAGCAGAACTACCGCGTCTGCAGTGCAAAATGATTAAAATGATGATTATTACTTCAAGGAAATGATGAAGAAATGATCATAAATGTTCTTCCTTGAGCTGTGTCACCCCGCTGGAGTCGATGGACTCGCCCTCCATACAAACAAGCAGCTGCTGGCAGGGGGTGTCTAACTTGGTGTTACTTCAGAAATACAGAAATGTCTTTTTAATTCTTTGCATGTCAACTTTATTTTGGAAGAGCACAATGAAATCTCCGAATATTATTATTGCCCAATTGCAGTAAGGCTACGGTTGGAATGTGACTACAGTTAGAGAAAAAGTAATATTGTGGGCTTAAATCCTCTGAATAGGACCACCATAGAAAGTTGTTTTGAGGTATATTTTATTATTATTATTTTTTTACATTTTTTTTGTACTTACAACTTCTTCTTCTTCTCCTTCTCCTTCTTTTTCTTCTTCTTCTTCTCCTGCTTTTTCTTCTTCTTCTTCTTCTTCTTCTTCTTCTTCTTCTTCTTCTCCTTCTTCTTCTTCTTCTTCTTCTTCTTCTTCTCCTGCTTCTTCTTCTTCTTCTTCTGCTTTTTCTTCTTCTTCTTCTTCTTCTTCTTCTCCTTCTTCTTCTTCTTCTTCTCCTGCTTTTTCTTCTTCTTCTTCTTTCTTCTTCTTCTTCTTCTTCTTCTTCTTCTTCTTCTTCTTCTTCTTCTTCTTCTTCTTCAAAGGGACACCCGTAACACGCAGATGTGGACCGCCTGCTACGTGGAGCTGCGATACTGTACGTGATTGGTGAGGAATTGTGTGAGCGTGTGTGTGTGTCTGTGTGAGTGTGTCTGGCTGGGAACCTGCTACTGGTTTCCCATCTACCCACACACACAAACACACTCACACACTCACACACACTCAGCCGCAGTCAGACTGACGGTCTCCCCACAGAAACGGCAGACAGAGGGACAACAAACACTCCTCCTCCCGACGCTTAGAAACCAACAATTGTTTAGAAGTGAAGTCGACGCGATGTTAAACGCGAAATGCTACCGTTTAGTGTGAGGAGGAGAGAGCTTACAGTGAGGAAAAAGCTGCTGAAAGTGGGTGAACTGTGACAAGCAGCTGGAGAAATTAACCGAAGGATTTGTGGACCGCACGTGGAAAGCACCACTGAAACGCAAAGGTAAGTAGGGTTATTTCCGCGCTGTACCTCTGGATAATGACATTTAGTGTTAGGATTGAAAAGTTTGGAGCCTTTAAGAAAAGTTTTATTGGTGTTTGTGTTCACGTTAAACGCTGTTTCGCTGTTTTGTCGGAGGGGCTGGCATTTCTACTGCGTCAATCACCCACAAACACCTTGCGGTTGAAAAAGAACAAGTGTGCGCTCGCGCTTAACACTACCGTTTTACCTATCCGTGCACGCGCCCTAAAACTCATTTTACTTTATTTTTCCAACTAACTAGGCGTGTGCTTAAAAAGAAATTCCCTGTTAAAGATATACTTCCACCTGGGCTTGACCATAATGAGTTAATATGAATACTTTCCCCCTTCACAGCCGTCATTACTTTGTTCAATGGTGGTCGTGAAGGTGAACCGCACCCCCCTTGTTTTAATGCGAATCTGCAGCCACCGTGCGCTAAAATGAAACCTGAATGCACCCTCAAGTCAAGCTTTAAGTCGTTAAATTTTATTATCCCACCTCCTTACTGGAGTTGTGTAATGTGCTAAGTTTCAAGATGAGATTCTTGTTAGGTAAGATGATTTTGGGTGTTGGCCAGCTTCATAACCTGCATAGTCTGATTGTAAGACTGCTTCTGTATCCTCATATTTGTTAATGATGTAAAATGAGGAACTTAGTCCACTGTGACATAAACAGAAACAACTCCTCAAATGAGCCCCTGTAACCATAGATTTGTCAACCAAACGCTATTGTCACATTTACAAATAATCATATAAAAGCAGTCTTATTAACATTTGCTGCTTGTTACTGGTAGAAAAAAACATCCCTAAAGCTAACGTGTAAACACATAATTGGATATTGGTGGTTGCTACTCTTTTACTTTGCTCTCTTCTTGCTCACTTCAAATGTCTTGGTGACTCCTATAAATAATGCGATTTCTGATACTTGGCCCATGATGACATTTAAAGGATTGTTCCAGTGTAACATTAATTTAAGGTCAACCAAACCAACTTTAGTAATGACCACAGGATAGCAATACACAGCGGTCTGAGGAGCCATACACAAACCTCCACCAAAACGCCACTGTATAGTCACAAATAATGCTCAGAACAGCACCTAACTTCATCAATAGTACATATAGGGTCCCAGCACTAGCCACCAAATTTTTTTTAGCTTTGCCTAATTTCTTTAGCAAAGAGACTAAACACAACTCACCTACCCTCTTCCAGCAGCCGCTTTATCATTTCTTCATGGAAATGCAATCAGACCGCGACGCTAAGGCAGAAGAACTACCGCGTCTGCAGTGAAAAATGATAAATATGGTGATTATTACTTCAAGGAAATGATAAAGAAATGATCATAAATGTTCTTCTTTGAGCTGCGGTACCCCGCTGAAGTCCGTAATGGACTGGCCTGAGGTCTTGCTACAAACAAGCGGCTGCTGGAAGAGAGTAGTGCTATGGCCGGGACCCTATACTGTTGATGAAGTTCCGTGCTGTTCTGAGCATTATTTGTGGCTATACAGTGGCGTTTTGGTTGAGTGTGTGGCTCTCTATATTATCTATATTATTATCCTGCGGTTGTTACGAAAGTTGGTATAACTAGAGAAGCAAGCGGTCAGCAAAATTCATCTTTCGCCAGGGTGTCTAACTGTGTTACAGTGTGTTTGACCCTAACTTAATTTTACACCGGAATATCCCTTTAAATAATACAGTTTCTAATACTTGGCCCATGATGACATTAACATTCTAACAAGGAAATACATTGCAAAATAATCAGTTTTCTTCTGCATTGTACTGTTAATCTGTTAATCACTTCACCTGACACCTATCCATATCAGCGGTTTCAGACAGTAAAAACAGTCACATAAAAAGTTCTCAACCTACACATAACCAGTCTTTATGCTTTCTTTAGGTCATTGAGAGGCATCAATATTAATTTTGACAGTTTTGTAGCCAGCTAAAAACTCTTAAAGCACCTTTCAAGATAAATGATAGTGTAGATATGGTTTCCATATCTACAGCCTGGTCTTTATTCTGTCAGCTGTAACTCCTCTGTCGCCTTAAGTTAAACTTCTGACATTTGGATGCTAGTCAGTTATTATCATGCGAGATATGTGAAGTCCCCTCATTGTAGGTGAGTAAACTTTCCACAAACTCGACTGCATCCTCGACCTGGATTAGCTGATGTCTGATGTCCAACACCCTGTTTTCTTCTTCTGTTATTATGCAGCTGTCAACTAGCCAGTTCACTGCTGATCAGGTTACCCTCATTTACGTTATGAGTGCCGCCACAAGGAGTCATAAGTATGAGCATAATTGGCAGGAAAAAAAGGGAATAAGCAGTTTGGCGTCACACAAAGCTGAATATTGAGTTTTGTTGTTTATTTTGAATTGCACGTTTATTCTACGCTCATGTGTACTAAGAAAGAGCCAAGGGCCACTCAGGGGCCCAAGAAATTGAAAGCAGATGTTCTTAGGCAAAAATGTTGGCATTTGTAGCTCACAGGATAGTGGTTGTTTTGGATTTGATTGTTTTTTTTTTTTTCTGTTTTCTTTTTTAATAGAAAGAAACCACTTTTGTCTTTTGCGTTCTGTTTTGTTTGCCGAGCCCAGACATATAAAAAAGCTTGTTGTATTTAAAGGTCAGTGACAGGTTGGATCTACAAGGTGGCTTGACCGAGAGTAGCTGTGAAGCGTTTAATCCTATCTTGGTACCTCCCTATGACATTAACTAACCTACTTACAATAAATTATCGCCACCTTCTCATGCAAAAGTGCAAGACTTAATTTGCCCTGGCATGCAATAAAAGATAAGCATATACCTTGCCCCATACCTCAGTGTCCAATTACAGTCAGCATAATATAAACTGTTGAGCTGGCTCCCTCTCTCCCTCCCTCCCTTAGTGTTTGTCCACTACCCCAGCTCTCTTCTGCTGCCATAGAGGACAGATATCGTTCAAGGCAGCCATAAAGACATAAAGAGCCTTGTTTCTTTCAGAGGAATGTCTTCTGAAAAGGGGAACAAAAACCCAGCATGTCAGAGTTTTTTTTATGAAATGACAGTGAGAAATCTGACTCACTCAGGCAGGTTGTCTTCCCTGCATTCAGAAATGATGCTGAGCTGTGATCTTACGCAACATTTTAGTTTTGCAACACATTTAATAGAGAAGTGGTTAAGCCAAATGTAAAGATACTACATAGTCGGTCTGTTAACTCTGATTTTTTTTTTTGCTGATTTGGCTGCAAGTCTATTTAACTCTATTGTTGTGGAAATATACACTGACAAAGCGTAGTTGCTTTAGCTCAACCTTATGCATACCAATTATACGCGCACCTCTGTATTATTGGCTCAAGTCATTTGCTTGTGTATGGCTGAGTCATTGTGATGATGATCCCTGCACGGCGCACTTGTGCTCCAGAGAGATGTATTTGTAAGTGCTCTTAGTTTGCTTTTCCAATGTTTACCCTCTACTGTTCAGTCCCTCCCAAAGGTTTCATTGCCACAAGTTGCTGTCCTGTAAAGGATGTGCTCATTATAGAGTTCTGGCATGTCATCCTGTGATTCATGTTTAGTCCATGTCTCTCTTGCCCTGAATAGCCTTTTATAGCGGCCAAATCACAAAGGAATACTTTCTCATATCTATATTTTAATCACTGGCCTCTATAACATTAAATAGGCACCAACAGGACATACAGTATCTATTTTTTTTTACGTACATAGTTATTCACTTTTGTCCTGCAGTATTCAATATCCATTAGTTTCCCCTACATATACCATAAACAGAACTCAAATGTAGGATTCACAGTATGACCACTAGATGCAATAATGAGAGGGATTTCTTCATTTCAACTAAGCTAATTCACTTATTATTATCAGTACTATCATCTGGACCCTAAAGTCTGTTTTCTATTTTCAGATCAAATCTCCCTCCTACTCATTTCACACAGGGTTCAGTCCTCTGACAGCAGCTCTGGGACACACAAGAGGAAAGAGAGAGAGCACAGAACGAGCATCATGTACTACATTACTCTACATTAACTTAACTAATAAATATAATCGGCTGGCTCACACAATCAATCATTTCTGTCATGTTAAAAAATTAATGTTTAATCTGCGCCGCAAGCCCTGTGATGGCTGGTCTAATAAAACGAACCGTCATCTTCAACATATGGCGTACGTTGATCTACTACGTGCACTGCAGGTGTAAACGCTGAAAGTGAACACTTGGCAGTCCTGATAGTTTCACCGTCTGAACATGTGCCCACAATATTAACCAATACCCAGAAGAGTGGGACAACATTATCCGATCCATATCAGTGTTTAACATGTCTCTGTGATGATGTGCATGTTAAAAAAGACGGTCTTGTGACAAAGATAATAACTTTTATTTATATAACACCTTTAAAAACAGATGTTTACAAAGTGCTCTGACAGAAGAAGCGAGCAAAGGCAGAAACAGGCAGAGGAAAATTGACATTTAAAAAATGGAAATTTAAAGATTGGCAGTTGGTGGTTGACGGCATCACATCAGGAAGGTGAAAAGGAAGAAGGTGGATGGAGGACAGATTAAAGAGAAAGAAATAAATGCATAGATAATAGAATAAGATGAGGTCACTTTCTTCACATGTGGCTGTATAAGTCATTTCAGTCAGACATTTATTGCAGATTTATCCTGAACAACGAGGAAGTGGGGACAGCATGACATCTTCAGATGATATGACTGATACTGCACCACCTGTGTTGTGTGCTCACGTGCATGTTGCAGTCACAGTATATTGTGCAGCTCTAGTCCAGACAATACATTGTGCAATACATAAACTCTGGTAACAATGCTGTGGTAGCATTGTCAGTGCAGTCATGTGGACTTTTTAAGCTTTGTGTACTTGTTTCTGCTCACAATAACAGCATAAGAGATTTATCTAAATTGATCATATTCCAAGAGATCTGGGTGTCTGAAATGGACTAAGAGCTGTGTGAGCTTTATTAACTGGCAGGCACTTTAAGTTGGTTCTGACGGAGGGATTTGGTCTTAGATCTCCAAACTTGGAAAGCATTACAAGGCCGGGAACATTAGCCAGCTTGCATAAGCTGTCCTATTGTGCTTGTCTTTGATAAAGTATTTACAAAAAAATGCTGTTCTAATATGCTGTGTCTTCAAGGTTATTCGAGGGATAAAGAAATCTTTGGCTTAATGTTCCACAACCCAACCTCAAAGTAGAGCTACCACTGAGATTGAGAGAGCGCTATTGGATTCCCCGTGGGCAGCTTTGGAGAAGTACAGTGAAGAAGTGCTGCAAAAATTAAGGGCTCTCTTATACCGACTTTCATGCCCTGTGTTATGAAATACCACAAGAGAGTTTTACCTCAGCATGAGCTGGAATGTGTAGTTGTACAAGATAATAAATCTTCTTTTTATTGGCCCCAATCTACCATCAAGATACTTGTAAGTGACCCAAAACTGGAGCAGCGTTAGTGCTCACTCAGAGACAGGTTTTTGTCTGCTTTATGTAAATTGATGCTGCATTTATGTAGGACTAGATTTTGATACATCACTTGCTGGCGCTGACGCCGCAAAAACAGCAGGGCAGACAGTGTAATCGCTCAATTATTTTATGAGAGGTAACAGTCACCATCTGTTCATGCGGCGATGCTGGATGCGGCTCGCTCAATGTGACACCGTTGCGTGACATCACTCACTAAAGATGTAATCTATGAAGACGTGTGCACTGAGGGAGGCTTTTCTGTAAAATTGTGGCCTTGTTCAGAGCCATGAGTCAACATGAAAGACATGCATGAGAGGTTGCAGATGAGGCCAAGTGTTGTATTTCATTCATGCATCTTTAGGAGTGCAGCAGGGGAATGAAAGAAATTGCTCTGAAAGTTTCCAAAATCAGTCAGATGTGAGTGGGAGGAGTACATGCAGAGGATGAATTGCTTCTTGAGGAGGATTATATTATCTGTTTGAGTTTGTGTTTGCAGCAGATGAATTCATTATTATGATCCCAATTTTGAAGTGCTATTCTTTGGTACATCATACTCAATCAGCTTCAGTTAAGTTGACTCTTAAACTCCAGTGAGTTATGATTGCTTTCACACTTGTTTGTTGTTGTAGAGGGATGGTGATTTCTTGTTTTTTAACTGTTTTTTTTCAAGAATATTGGCTCGCAACTGGAGTACAACTTTGATAATACAACTTTCATATTTTGGATATATCATACTGTTGAATAAGCAATTAGTCTATACTGTGTAACTGTTGTCTCAGCTTAAGAGATAACAGTTTTATCAACCCAATTCCCAATATGCGCATAAAATGGAGTTTGGTGTCTTTTTATTGGAGCTGTCAGAATATAAGGGTGCTCTCACACTTCCACCCTAAAAAGTCCACTTTGTTTGAGTGGTGCAAGTGCTCTGTCTGTACCACACTGAGGTGCCTTGGCACAGTTGGAAAATAAGGGCTTCAAACACACCTTAACACCGAGTTAGACACCCCCCCGAGAGATAAATGTTGCTGACTGCTCGCTTCTCTAGTTATACCAACTTTAGTAACGACCGCACGATAGCAATACACAGCGGTCTCAGGAGCCATACACAAACCTCAACCAAAAAGCCACTCTATAGCCACAAATAATGCTCAGAACAGCACCTAACTTTATCAACAGTACATATAGGGTCCCAGCCACAGCACTAGACACCAAACATCTTTTTAACTTTGCCTTATTTCTTCAGCAAAGAGACTAAACACAACTCACCCACTCTCTTCCAGCAGCCGCTTGTTTGTACGGAGAGCTTAGACGAGTCCATCACCGACCTCAGCGGGGATACGCAGCTCAAGGAAGAACATTAATTTAACCTGACTTAATTTTACACCAAAATGTCCCTTTAAGTTTTTTTTTTTAAATACTCTCACCCAACTTCCACATGGGGCTTAAGATAAAACAGCAGGAAGTGAATATGTCAGGCTGTCAAGTTTATCAAACTAAAGCAGCAACAAACAAACAAAAAAAAACATGTCAAGAATGAGAGGGAGGAGGGTGAAAATATGACTCCTGTTCTGGCAGATGGAAGAAATTCATAATAAAAACAGAGCATGACAGGTGTGAGTGAACCAGTCAGGTTGAAGTCTAGAGAAATTTATTTCACACTGACTTTTGCTGGAGAGACAGGGAGGACTCCACTGCTGAGATGGAAATAAACATTCACCCAGAATTGAAAATGAAAGATTTGACATGAATAAATCCCCTTCAGGGATCAATAAAGTTCTTCTTATCTTATCAATTTAAGACCAAATAACTCATGCTGTGCTGTATAAGACAACTCCATTGACCTTAATACTGATGAATGATTAGAATCCCTCCCTCTCTGTTCCTCTCTCAGTGCACGATCATATTAATGATTAATTGATTAATTTTGTCGAGTCTTGCAGTTTTGGGTTTTCATTGCCAGTTAATATTAGTAGGGTTTTATGGCTATTCAGAGAGTATTTCCAATAGGTGTTTGATAAAGTCAAAATTCTGCAGTTTACCACTAAGTCAGTAAAGCTGCAGTCGTGGTCTCTGTCTTGTTGTCTTGTAAAATAAGGATATAACATTATGAAGTAGAGTCATGTGAAGCCTGTTTGAGCCTGGAGTGGTGTAAGTGCAGGCCAGTGTGGGACTCCGTTCTTTGGCAGGGTACAGGGCAACGTAATAATCTGTTTCATAATCAGCTAAACACTTCTCACAGGAGCTCCAAGTTAAGAACTAACTGTTGCTCTCAGTGACTAAGATGTCCAAGATGTGTTTTTCATGAGTCAGATCAATCTCTAATCGATCTAAATAACTCTCAAACCGACTGCCAGCCCTTTAACAACCATGCAGCAGAGCAAACTGAAGGTCTGACTTTTACTTTTCAAATCCCTCCAAAAGAAGTTAAAGACTCACACTCAGGACACATCCACCTGTTTTTGACTCCTTTCCCTCCACCTCTGCCACTTTTGCTTCCTCGACAGTTCCCGTGGGCTTTTGAGCACAGGTTGGAGAGCAGGACCATGTTGTGGAAAAAAAAAAAAAAAGTAGCGGCTGTGCAGGAAACTCTGTAGACCCCACTCTGATGAGGTCCCAGGAGGGCCATGAGCACTGACTGAACAGATTTCACATTAACACACTGAGCAAGAGGGAAGCAAGGGAACAAGCAGGAAACAGTGCTGCTCCTCTGACTGCTTGGCAACACATAGCCAGAGTTAATGAAGTGTTTTTGTAAGGGGCTCTGCTTGGAAATGGGGTGATAAGCAGACGAAAAAATATATGCACGTCGTTTTCACTGCCACAGCAGCTCCTCGGCTCCTTTTGAATTCAACCGCTCAGTCGTGAACTGTGAGCGTTGCATAACACTGCTCCAAGTCAAACCAGAAGCTATGCATAGTAGCGGGCAACATTTCACCGCCTTGAGGCTCCATTCAGCCTCCTCCTCCTTCTCCTCTTCATCCCACTTGTTTTCTTCCTTGTGTCGCCCTTCCCCTCATTCCTCCCTGCTGTCATGCTTCAGTGGGCCACCTGAGGGGGGATATGTGCCCCCTCCTTTGCCTGGTGACAGCTTGCAGGGAGATATGGGCAGCCCTCTCAGCTTGAGGAAGCAGGAATAGAGGGATGTGAGAGATGCTGGGGATTAAAGCTTCCACAGAGAGGAACTCCACAGGGCTGATTTGCTACTGGAGAGCCATGAGACCTTTGCACACATAACCTTGTGTTTTTTTCAGTTTTTGTTTTCTTTACTGCAGCATCCAATAAATGTTACACAAGGGGACAGACACAAGAGAGAAAGGGCAGGCTCTTATGTGGCATTAACGCTATATATGTAAATGAGTGTGGCTACAGTGTCATGCATGTGTAGGTTGACTCTTGTATGATAAGGTAGGCTCTCTGTTGTGTTTTGTTTGCAGCAGAAAGTCTAAAGCATTGGTTTGTCTCTTGTATCTTGAGGCTGTGTTGAAGGAAAGCTTTAGTTAATCAGAGCACATGATGTCAAAGTCTTTTGAATTCAGCACTGTTTGTGTCTGGCACAGCACAGTACAGGTCTTTCTTTCTTCTCTTTCCACTGTGCTCAAAGCTTAGTTTTCTGCAGTTTTAACAAGGTTCTTGACTTCCTTTAAAAGCCTCTTTGATATTTTTCCACTTCTGATTGACAGTTAAGATTAAAAAAAGTGGTGCCTCAGGTCAGGGGGTGTTGTGTTTTAAAGAAGAGTTTAAAAAAGGTCTCTTTCCTCTTTCCAAGTGTTTGGATGTTTGACATCTTCTAAATTCCGAAGTAAGGCATATTTATTAGCCTCTCTAATTACTCGCCACAAAATCTTGGCCCAGGATTTTGTTTACTGTGAAGTCTTGCTTTGCTGAAGGAGCAGAGAAGAAAGGAAATGGAAAGAAAGATGGTCAAATCGATGATACTTTAAAGCTGCTCGACACTGATAAGAAAGTGGTGTTAAAAAATGTCAAAACACTGTAGCATCCTGAAACGATATTTTTTGATGCAAGATCTGTTCCCAAAAGTCACCGTTTTGATCCTAAATCATTAGATACTAGGAGTGCAATACTTGGTATTACTTGTATTGTGTTGTATATTGATCATGATGCATGTGTAGGTATTTTTGTGCTTTTAGTCTTTGCTTTCAAAACTTAAACTGATCCTAAACACATGAGGATCATTCTCCCAATGAGTGATGTTCTGGACTTGTCATCATATATATCAATAAGTTTAGGGGTGGGAGAAAAAATGGATATTGCGATATTTTGTCTAGAGATCAATACCAAGTACCGATTTTTCAAATTAATGGATAATATGAAACCAAAACTATGATAATAGAAAAATAAAATCAACAATTTGTCCAGTGAGGTTGGCAGAGGTGACATCATAAAGTAGGATAAAGTTCATACAACAAATATGAGGTTTGCAAGATGTGCTGCATGAAAATAAAATACAGCGTGAATAAGACAAACATAAAAGAAAGCCAAATGCTAAATTAGCTTAACAGTTAAAAAAATTGTAAAAACCGCAACACATCGAATCGCAATAAAAAATGTTAAAACTCGCAATGATATTGTATTGTGGCCCAATTATCGTGATAATATCGTATTATGGCCCAGGTATCGTGATAATATCGTATCATGGCCCAGGTATCGTGATAATATCGTATCATGGCCCAACTATTGTGACAATGTCATGTTGTGTCCCAACTATCGCGATAATACTGTATTGTGGCCCAGGTATCATGATAATATTGTACCATGGCCCAACTATCATGATATCGTATTGTGGCCCAGGTATCGTGATAATATTGTACCATGGCCCAACTATTGTGACAATGTCGTATTGTGTCCTTACTATAGTGATAATACCATATTGTGGCCCAAGTATCGTGATAATATCGTATTGTGGCCCAGGTTTTTATGATAACATCGTATCATGACAATATTGTATTGTGAGGTCACTAGTGATTCCTACCCCTCTAATATAGTTGTTTATCATTACTGTGCTTGTAGAAACCATGCAAAAACAGTGATTCAAATCTGTACTGTAATAAATGTGCTACCTTTTAGATAAACACAAAGACCCCAGGCTTATAGACCAAAACACAACACAGCCCCTTGCATGTAAAGTTGTAGTATCTTGCAATAGTAAACTAACCCCATGAATCATGATTTGTGTTGTAACACTTTATTCTTGCCCCCTACAAACACCTCTTAAACCTATACAGCAATCCAGTCATTAAAACATGACTTAATGCTTGTCTCAGAGATGTACCATTTAAATGATACATATAAAGTTTTATTTTAGGTTTCATATAGATACGGTGCCAAAGTATTTACTACTTACTTTGCTGTAGTTGAATTCTTTCCTCTGGCCTGATGTAATCTTGTTAAACAATAACCACCAGTCAACAATGGCTTTCTTTCAGACCCCGAGGGTTGGAGAAGTTGGCTTTAGTACTTATTGAAACTTCTACTCCTGCAGGTTTTGCTTTTACAACAATCAGTGAATGAACCTTTGACTCCACAAGCTGCTCCTCGGCTGCTGAGCACTCAGTTTCACCGTTGCTGCACTTTAAGGAAAACCCCCTTTCTGCTCTGTTGTTTATTAGTAAGCCAGTTTGGTGAAGGCATTGTTTTGCAGTCTGCTGCAGAGTAACCCATTGTCTGGTTGAGACTGATGGATGAATTGGTTAATCAGGGTGGTGTGTGGTTGTAAGTGTGTACAGCTGAGGAAACGATTAAACTCCGTAGTCCTCATGAGATCATTTGGGCCTAATTAACCCATTTCTTTGTGACTACATTGTTGGTTTATGCACAGTCAGGCCAACGAAGCACAGATTTTCCTGACATCATCAGATACTACTGTGTCTCTAGGGGTATAAATCGAGTCGCCAGGAAAATTCAATAACAAGTTAAAGTTGGCTTGTAATAATAGAAACATGATTGCTCTTGTGTATCTGTTAGACTTAGTAGTTCTTTGAACAGCTTCATCTGGAGTCATTTCATCTTTGCTAGTTTAGCTGCTTCCAAGGAGAACATTGGCAAAGCATTTGGAGAGACAAAGCATGGAGACTGAGAGAGAGAGAGAGAGAGAGAGAGAGTGAGAGACACATGAGCATAATTTCGACCATGCCATTACTTTAACCTGTGAGCAGAGGTACATTCAGATAGGCTATGTGCATTTGAGACTGAGGGAAGTAATTGGCCTGAAGCTGAGGTTGTGAACAAACACTCACCAAACTTTCTAGAGGGCTTATTGCCAGTAAAAGCAGGTGATAAATCAAGTTTGTTTATGTGTAACTTGTGAAACTTCTGGACACTTCCTCATGCTGTAAATCGTCAGCCTGATTCACATTGTCTGCTTTATTTAATCTGCTTTTTTCTCTCTCTCTCCTCTTCAGTGAAGGGTGGATCTCATCCTCTCCACTTCAACCGCTGCCAGCCGATCACTCCCGCCTACTCCAAAGATGAGTGCCAAGTCGGCCATCAACAAGGAGGTCTTCATACCCCACGATGAGAAGATGCTTGCTGCTGTGCAGGTGAAGCGAAGAACCAAGAAGAAGATCCCTTTCCTGGCTACTGGCGGTCAAGGAGACTACATGACGTTCATCTGCCTCTCAGGTCAGAAGACAAATATATCTTTCCCTTCTGTTCACTCTTTTTATCTCCTCCATGTTTGTGTTAAACTCGCTCTTCTGTGGTATTCATGTTTCTCTTGTGCTGTTTGGACCCCAAATCACATTACTACATGTCTCCCTGAATTTTCCCACTAATGTTCACACTGATGAGCCTGTTTACGTTTCCTCTGCCAATAGGATGACACACTAATGAATTTACTGCCGGGCTCTAGGTCAGCCCTTTTCAAACAGATTGGATTTACACTGAAAGTGAATAATTGTTTTAGCAGAATCTGAGGTTTAAATCATTTCGTTTCCTGTGTGAACATCAGATGAGATATTGCTTGTTAATTAAATTAGCCAAGCATATTATTCATGAGGAGAATAGTTGGAGCTGATTAATTTGAGTGCCAGCTTATGGAGATCAATGACATTTCCTAATCTTTCCATTTGAATGTGTGTTAAACTCTGCTTTGGTTGCAGCAGATCACATAACTAACCAAAAGTTTGAAGACACTTAATGTTGACTTAGAGGAGTTTTACCGCTGCTGTACAAAGGCGAGTACAGTCTGTCTGGACTCCATTCACATTCAAGGTTACCCTTTAGTTTTCTCACAATTCAGATCTGAGATTCCGTCTTTAGTAATCAATACAACACAGTCTCAAGCATTAACCGAAGATTCCTGATAATGGACTCAGACACTGTTTTTTCTGATGACTCATCTCTCCTTTGATGTAAAAAAAAACCAAAAAAACAGCGTTGGTTCATATAATGCCAGTCTCATCACGTCCCCAGCCTTCACCTCTGTACCCCGTTTGAGCTCTGCTACTTTGAAAAATATTGAAGCCACTATAAACCCTTACCTCTCAGTCTGAAGGGAAATTCATGAATTATCTATGAAGCCTCCACGAAATGTTTTAATGATTACAGCAGAATACAAGACATTACGTGGACAGATTTGAGTGGTTTGAAACCCAGATGTGATGTTTGGTTTTAAAATATTCAAACTATAAGCCATAATTATACAAATTAAAACACGAAAGAAAGGCTCACACTTTTAAGACGTGGTACTATGGAGAGAAATAGTGATTTTTGAGTCCTTCTCTGCAGAGACCCTGTGGAGTATCGAGGAACTGAAATGTCTTGTCTCAAACAAAACCTTTACACTTACCCATTGGAAAAGTTTAATCAGCTCTTGTTTGGACCTTTTGCTAACAGTTTGAACGATTGATCATTAATCAAACTGATTGGAAACATAAGCCTGAAGGTTGGGGTATGCTGTCCAGGTGGGACTTCTCGCTCTTAAAACCTGTGTCGATGCAGCGGGGATACTAGACAGCCTGTCATGCTGTTTGTGTGTGTGTATGTGCGTCAGTCTAACCCGAGCAGAGATGTGGAATGTCTAAGGCAGGGTTGGCTCTAAATCTACAGCGATGTGTTGAAGGGTAGCCAATTTAAACAGCCTTCAAGCTGCTATCAGTGAAGGATTTATACTCCTAAACTCTGCATCAGTGTGAGATAAGCTTGCTGCAAGGATGAGGTCGTCTTCCCATCAGCTGTGTTGACGTAGCATAAAGTTGTTTCTAATTTTATTTAAGTATTTCCAACATGCAATTAAATTGAAGTGCACGTAGCATAATGGGTGTTGTTATTATAAATTTGTTTTTATCAGATGCAAAATAATAAATAGAATAAAAAACAGATCCAACAGCATGATTTATACAGTGGCCATTAAAAACTGAACTTGTATACGTAAATGGATTTTGCAGCTTAAATGAATTAAGTTCCAGGATTCTGTCTTTTTCTTTTTCTCATGGCTACAGCTGCCTTTTGTCTGATTTGACCTAATAAATGTTTTCAGCTGTCTGCTCCATACCAAGCTGTTGTTCTGTATAGCAAGTGGGAGCACAGCAGAGAGGCAAGTACTGTTATTCAGTTCACTTAGTCATGTGGCATTTCTTAAAACCATCCGAGCATTGTTTGGGGTTGAATGCGCGCGAATGTGCATGTGTGTGTGTGTGTGTGTTTGCACCGTATAGTTAAACCACGAGTGTGAAACTGGGCCGAGCCTCTCAGCTATCTGGAGATACAAGGCCGGTATGTGTGCGAGTCTGAGAGTTCAGCATGTGTATAAATATGTGAACGAACTGTGTACGGACAGTATATAAGGATGGGGGAAGGGGGGTCACTGACAGTCTCATGGCCGCAGTTGCAGATAGTCGAAGCCTGAGGGCTGTACAGTGGCAGAGTTATGTAATTGGTGGTATGTCAGAGTCACAGGAAGCCTACTGTAGAGACAGCCATGGGCACTTTATTCCCAAGATGAGCAGGGTGCCAACATGAAACACCACACCATCTCTGCGGCTCCGACACCAGGATCATATGCTCTGATTCTGTCAGAAGATGTAGCTTATACTGAAAATTACCAGCCGCTTCAACTGACTGTTTAAAGTTCTCATCTGTTAAGAATAAATCAGTGCTTTACAGGCACGGAAGATGGGTATGACGCAATTGACCTTGAAAGGCAGCCGTTAGTTAAAGCTGTCTTTCCAGCGTGGGTGAATCTGAGTCTTTGAATTAGCTGCTTGTTGAACACACGGCTTTTTGTCTTAGGTAAAGGGCTACATCTATCAGTGCAACAACAAGGCCTGGATAGCTGCCATTTTTAGTGTGTTTTTTTTCACAATAACATGTGGCTACAGGAAAAAAAAAACGGGTTTGGCTCACACAGCTTACTGTTGTCTGGCTTGAGGGTGAAATCTTCAAATCAGTCGTATATCAGCAGAGCGAAACGATAATAATTTTACATTTTCTGTGAAGATAAACAGATTTTTGTCCTCAAAACCCTGACAGCAGTATTAGATTAAACTCACAAAAGGCAAACAGATGTTTCGGGTGTGTTTTAGGGCTTAAGGTAATATTCTTCTCTTTCTTTTTTTTTGTTAAACCAGTCCATTTTGTTTTGCATTGTCTAGTCATAGTCTGCTGGGTCTGAGTCTGATTTTCAGCAAATTCTGGAGTGGCTTCTTGGAAGTGAGGAACAAAAAAACAACTGCCATTCACACATCTGTGAGATTATGTTCAACCAAGTGAGCAAATTTGGAGTTTTTACTTTGTCTTGAGCAGTGAAATATTTGGTTTAATAATCAAAACCGTACTTGTTGTGTTACCAGATTTACTCTGCTCCATGGAATTTGGCACAAAGCTGCACACTGTACTGTTTTGCTCAGACTTCATCTCACTTTCCAGACAAGTACAGACTCCCAGCCTGTGCTATGCTGTGATTTCTGAGCCGTCTTTGATCCTAAACACAAACATGTCATTGCGCATAGAAACATATGATAACGCTTTAACAACAACATCAGGGGTCTTGACGACATAGGAGTGTGCTGGAGTGAAGCCAGAAGTTCAACATGAACCGAGGTGGAAGGAGAGCTTTCTCTTTGATCGTGGGGTTTCATGTGGTGCCTTTATGGCTGGACCTCACGGCTGCAAACACTGGACCGCCCACTGAATGTTTGGCAGGAAAGATGTGAGGCCAGTCTAGCCTGTTATAACACTGTGAAGGTTCTCTGCTGCAGCTTATTAGTCTACATGATTTCACTTCTCCATCGGATTTAAGAGGACAAAACTTTTCCTCGACTTCCAGCAGCTTCTACTTCAGTCAACTCTTATGATTCTCAGAATCTTTCAGCTCCCGTTTCGTCTCACTTTCTCCTAGATTTCTGTTAATTACACTTACTCTAATTGTTATTCCTGGCACTAGATCATGTAGTATAGGGCTGGGTGAAAAGGGAAAAAGTTTATCACAATATATTTTTTTCATATAAGTCAATATCGATATGTGTCACGATATAAAAAAAATCATGTCTATCTTAAATGTTCCCTGTTACTCTTAACTGAAATTTAACATGTACTGGACATAATTTACAGTGCACACTACTCTGCTTCATGCAGTGTTGTTTTCATTGACGAAAATATTTCATCAACGCCCCTTTTTTTCCACGACAAAGACGTGACGTTGACGAGCTAAACATAAGTCTTTGATGACTAAAATGTGACGAGACGATTATAAACTGTTATTGACCCTGAAGAACTGTTAATTGTGGTTATCTCGCAGCACCAGTGTTGTTTTTGTTGACGATGACGTTGACAAAAATATTTCGTCAACGTCATCGTCAACGAAAACAACACTGGCATCATGTCCTCAAAAAACAAAAAACCTCCACACCACTGACATTTTCCCGCCAGTGTTGTCGACAATGTTGTCTGCATTTCTGCCGGCGGTAGCACTCATTTTCTTTTTTTCTCACTAACAGTGCTGTTGGCTTCACGCGTTAAAGTACTATAGTTGCGTGTAGCTGCAGCCTTTTTCTGCAGCCTATTGAAAAAGCATATTGACCATGTTTTACATCGATATCAGAGGAAACTAATTTTTGATATATATCTTTATCGTTTCATCACCCAGCCCTAATGTAGTTTATTTTAAATATTTATGCTGGGTTTATTTTTCATATTCAATCTGTGGAAAGGACTTCAGTTGGGAGGTGAGACCAATCTTCATTTTCCAGTTAAACCTCCAACCACAGTTACAAGGTCAGTGTTATGATAGTTCAGTCATAAGGTCTAAATAGACTCATAAACCGTACAGGAGAATTACCAGTCAATGAGTTTGTGTTACATCCTATTCACAGAGGCTACATGTTGTTTGTAACTTTGACTGAGTTTGATCATTCTCGCTTAGTCAGAAAGTAGACCTGAAGTGACATTTATAACAAGATAATGACATTTTGAATTCGTCCAACATTGTTTTACATCCTGTGACTTCGATTCAGATGAGGTTTTCCCAGAAATAATGTTCTAATATCATCTTGTCTCATGAGCCAAGTGTTTCGACACACCCTTCTAGAGAAGTAGCTTCTTGGTCTTCTGTTTTTTATCTTATTTGGGTCTGTTAAGTTTTCATGTTTCACAAGATTAATAGCCACTTATGTAACTGTAGATGACTGATAGTTTTAAATGAAACCACTTAGATTCTTGTGTATTATTTAACTTTTTATATGAGTGATAAACATGCTTTATCATGCATCACTAACAATAAAGAGTGATTGTCACAGAGAAGACCGTGGAGTCACTGTGTATTGTTGAAGCCCCATTGACGCTCTATGTTAAGATGTGAATTCCATGTGGGACGCACGTGGGCAACTGTGTTTACTGGTGTATTCATGTGCACCGTATTTATGCAAGCATGTTATTTTGTGGGTTGGCGTACATGAATAATGTCATGCGTGGGCTGTGTGTCATGTGTGTTACACTGAAGAACCTCATCTTGCTCTGTTGGTTTGTATTCCTCTCTGCAAGTGTGCTTTTTTTAATTAAACGGAATCATTTCAAACATTAAGTAAAGAGGATATACTTGCATAATTTGACTTCCTTTGATTAGAGCCAGTGATTTATGTTCTGCTATGATGTTATAATGTCCTCCCATTGTATGTAACAGAGAGCCCTCTTTGTGGGATGAAGAAAGATCCCTCACCTTCCATCCTGAGGAAAAAATAAATAAAAAATTTACTGGCAGAGCTCACTACCAGTCTTTTCTTTGAGGCCATGCAGAAAATACTGTCGTTAGCGCACCAGTCTATGTATTGCACTTTCAGCCTCACTCCTATTCATCATTAGCAGACTTGTGGCTATTGATTACATGGTAAGATGGATGGGGGTGAGCAGATCTTGCGGCTTACTGGTACACTAAGCTGCCCAGGCCAATCAGAAAGTCATATCAGTTATGACCTTGGTTCCATAGTCCAGAAGAGCATAACTCTTACTTTCGGTTTTCATATGAATGCATGTTGGCTGGTAGGTGTGTTTGCCAAGGTTAGCCCACAGACTCCTGGATTCATATTTAAAATGATCCGAGAGGTGTGTAAGAAGTATTTCTGCGCTTGAGGGCAAAATGAACAGTGGGTATAAAATTCAAGGTTAGAACCTGCACGAATGTTTTATTGTAGAAATCCACCCTAAAACTCAGTAAAGGATTTCTTACACACTCAGGGATCTCCAATCTGGCTCACAGATACTCAATATTAAGGGATCATATCTGATTAGTGTGGAAAAAAAAAACTAATAGGGAAATTCCTTACTACTTTACCACTGTTTACATCACCATCTATAAAGTTGTGACTCTGCTGAATCTAAGTGAAAGGTCTTCTGTAACATTTCAAGGATTCTGGACAAATGTTTGCTAATGAGGTTCAGCCAGAGGTGGGTGGTCTGTGTTGTGTCGGAGAAATGTTGCCTTCTGTGGGCTCCTTACACTTCAGTGTAGCAGCAGAGACTGATGCTGGCCTCTCTGTATTTACTGAGGGCAGAGACATAGAGCCCACTCACACAGGAGCAGACACATGGGCTCAAGTCGACACTAATACCACATTCCTTGTTAAAGTTTGTGTGTATGTGTGTGTGTGTGTGTGTGTGTGTGTGTGCTTTCCCGTGTGTTTGGCGTTCATAACAAAAATCCCCCAGTATCTCTGTTATGGCAACCTTTATCTATACCAATTTGTTTCTCGCAGAAGCTCAACTCATTTGCGCTGAACCATTTTCTGGAATATGAACTGTCTTCACTCTTCACACTTGCCCTCTCTTATCATGTCAGCCTCCCTCCCCCTGATCCTCTGAACTCCTTCCCTCTGATCTCTTCTTGATGAGAGTCCTTTGAGTCTTGGGAAAGGCCTCAGCGCCTCAGTGACCTGAGCTTGGCCCGGGAGAGCAGAGTTAAGACAGAAGGTAAAAAGGAAAAGAAATGGGGGCCAGATGGTGCAGAGAGGCTGAAGCAGCAGAGGGACAGCATAGGTGAGACAATACTTTTCTCTGTGCTTATCCTCAGGACCCTTGTTGGCAGCTTACAAACAAGGTTATTTACATACAGTATACTAATATTTAAATAAATCACAAGTTACTTACAACTAGGGCTATAATAATAATAATGCATTAGATTTTTATAGCGCTTTTTTGTCAGTGACCTCAAAGCGCTTTACATCGGATACATCATTCATTAGCTCACACAGTCACACCGTGGTGGTGGTAAACTACCTTGGTAGTCACAGCGGCCCCGGAGCAGACTGACGAAAACATGGCTGCCAGTTTGCGCCTACGGCCTCTTTGACCACCACCACACATCATTCACAATCATACACCAGTGGAGGACACACACTGGGAGCAAAGTGGGAAAGTGTCATTTCCAAGGACACAGCGGACAGACTAGGGATAGGGCGGGACTCGATCCGCCAACCTTCCAGTTATTGGCCGACCACTCTACCTCTGGAGCTACTGCTGCCCCAGTAGAGCTGGGCGATATGGGAAAAAATTTATCACAGTATTTTTTTTTTTCATATCAGTCAATATCGATATATATCACGATATAAAAAATGAAATTTAATACAAATGAAATACAATAAGCTACTGCATCTGTGAGGTCTCTTAGACGTTTTGTCGTAAGGCCTTGTGCTGTTAAAGTACGATAGTTGCGAGTAGCTGCAGTCTGCTACTACGCAGTTGTTTGCTGCTTGATGCTAATTCAGCACATGATTGGTTCAGCGTGAAGTGGACCCGGAGAAACTCCCCTTTTCATTGGCTATTAGTATAGTCTACCAAAACATGGCAGAATGTTGGCCATCTATTGAAAAGTATATTGACCATGTTTTATATCGATATCGAGGGAAATTAATTTTTGATATATATCATTACCATTTTATCATCCAGCCCTACTTACAACTTAGGAGTATAAACATTTCGTCTTTCTTCTTTTATGGAGAACTGACCGGGAACACATTCAGTCTTCATGAAAAACTAACAAAACCTGGTATGCATCGTCCCTGAAATCTCTCCCTCTCTGTCTAAAAAAGATAAAGATAAAGAAAACACAGACACAGACACACACACACACACACACACACACACACACACACACTCTGCAGGTGGGTTAAGATCAATGAAAGACTCAGGTGCTCTGCAGGAAGACTGCTGTGTGCGTATAAAAAAAGCTCCTTTGAGGCGACCTGCGTGATTCACCAGTTTGCAGGAAATGAGTCTGGCTCCCTCTGTATGGATGTGTGTATTTGTGTGCATGTTGGATCAGGACACGCCTCAGTGATTGTGACAGCTCTCTTCACATGTCTGTGCTGCACCAAAGCCAAACTGTCTGTCATCCTCCCTCAGCTTCTCTATCCTTTACTGTCAGCTTTGATCCAGACAAGACTTTCCCCAAAGAACAGACCAACAGTTATGCGTCGTGACCTCCTCTCATGTCCACCAACTTCTGTGAGTGCCTGTCTGGCTGATTAGCCTGCAGGAACAGTGGGGTATTTATCTTCTAGCAGGAATCTGATGATTGGTGTGGTGGAGGCGGCGCTTGGTCGGTGGTTTGGAAGACTCCCCTTGGCTCTCTCTAAGGCTGTGTTTACTTGTTGGTTGCTTTGCTGCAGCTCCTCTCCGGTCTGTGGGACTTTGTTAGGAACAGGAGGGTTCCAGCTTTCACTGGAGGAACCCGGGAGACGAGAGACGGGAATAAAAGAGATGAAACAAGAGACTGTGGGGGGAGTTCTTTCATTTCACATTGCATTCCTGGAGAGTAAAGTTTGCTTGAGGGAGTTATTTGTGGTTAGGAGCCGTTTGTTCCTTTTGTTTACTGTCTCTGTTTTGAAACCATAGATTTCCTGTCCCTGTATTTATCTTAATTTAGAAAGTCTCGAGGGAAATCGTTCTAGTATTCAGGATGTGTACTGGTTGTTTGGGTTAGATTTATTTTATTATACATTCTTAGATAAAGAAGAAATGTGGGCTTATATTACAATCCTTGCATTCGCCCCCAAGTGTAGAAGAAGGTTTTATCTACTTTAAACATGTGAAGATCAGTCGTTTCATTCCATCTGGGGGCACAGACTGTGAGAGTCAACAACAGTGCTGGGTGTGGTTCTTCTTGACCTGGAGACTTGATGACTGTTTTCTCCTGTTTGACCAGAGGGCTTGGAGTGTAGAGGTTTTGTTTTGCTGTGCTGGGATGTGAGTTGTTTTTCTGAATGTTGTGGAAGTGTTGATGGCACACGACTGCGAGGAAAGGCCCAGGGAGATGAGGTGATGCCACTTAGGGATCACTGAGGAGGTAATTATTCAAGAAGAGGACCACCACACAGATGTTTCTGATATTTTGTACTCTTACCACATGTATTGGCTCACTAATAGAGTGAAAAACCATGTCAACACAATTCCCCCTGTACCTGGGAAATCTCATCTTTGTGATGTTCTCAGCTTTTGCTCTGTGGAAAAACAGACTTATTCTTCAGAAACAGGACTGCACGATGACAGAAAACACTAACTTTGGTTTAATTTGTTCTTAAAAAGACACTGTGGTTTAATACTGACTCTGACTACTGTGTGAAAATAGAGCCAGAGGTTGTTGTTCTGCTTTAACTGTATGTCCTTACTCATTCTTAACCATGTTAAAATACCATTTAGAGATGTGCTCATAATCTTGGTTGACCAAAGTTACACCATGTCTCTCAATCTTTCATCCTCCTCTGATGAATTATCACGGCACAATAACTATTGAGAATCAGACTATCTAAATAACTTATCTGATAACGTTTTTTTTCCCAATCTGCAACAAAAACATTTAAGAGGAGACACTTTTCCCAGCCTCACTGTGTATTTGTCAGGGGTGGGAATCACTAGTGGTCCCATGATACGATATTATCACGATACTTGGGTCACGATATGATATTATTGCGATTTTTAACATTTTGCCATACAGTGAATATTGCGATACAATATCTTGCGATTCATCTCTGAGACAAGCATTAAGTTATGTTTTAATGACTGAAGTGCTGTATAGGTTTAAGAGGTGTTTGTAGGGGGCAAGAATACAGTGTTACAACACAAATCATGATTCATGGGGTTAGTTTACTATTGCAAGATACTACAACTTTACATGCAAAGGGGCTGTGTTGTGTTTTGGTCTATAAGCCTGGGGTCTTTGTGTTTATCTAAAGGTAGCAGATTTATTACAGGACAGATTTGAACCACTGTTTTCGCATGGTTTCAAGTAGGAGAGTAATGATTAACAACTATATTAGGGGTGGGAATCACTTGTGGCCCCACGATATGATATTATCATGATACTTGGGCCACAGTACGATATTATCACGATAATTGGGCCATGATACAATATTATTGTGATTTTTAACAGTGAGTATTGCGGTACAATATATTGGGATTCATACATTTTTTTCAACTGTTTAGCTAATTGAGCCTTTGGATTTCCTTAATGTTTGTCTTATTTACGCTGTATTTTATTTTCCTGTAGCACATCTTGCAAACCTTATATATATATATGTTGTATTAACTTTCTCGTGCTCTATGATGTCACCTCTGCCAATCACACAGGGCAAACAGTTGATTTTATTTTTCCATTATCATACTTTCGACATCATATTAGCAATGAATTTGAAAAATTGATAATTGGTAAATGAGACGATACGATATATAATCATATATCATCAGACAAAATATCTCGATACTATGCTGTATTGATTTTTTCTCCCACCCCCAGTATTTGTTAAGCACATCGCAGTGCATATTGATGTGAACACAGATCTGAAGAACACAAAACCTTACAGCTTTTACTCTTAACCTCAAGCAGACATGTCATGCATTTTTAGATCCACATTTATTCAATAAACCAGCTTATGCAGGTTATTTTGAATGCAGGACTTGGCTGTCTGGACTTTTTTTTTTTGTCAGATGAACTATCTGACTCCAGGCAACCTTACAAATTGAAGAAGTCTCTGCTGGAACAGGAGAGTCCAAAATTGCAATGACTGTTTTGAATTTCTGTCAATCCAATCCTGTGATTGATGGAACAAAAAGATGTTTGAATAAAATTAAATAGTCTTATTCAGGATGTTGTTATTAAGAAGGTCTCCCTCCCATCCCTGCAAATAATGGGTGAAAATTTACCCTTCCTGTGAAAATAACATGTGACTGTTTGACCAAATAGATTTTGTGCGGATGAGAGCTCATCGACCAACTAATCAAATAACCAACCTGAGGGTGTCACCCCCGTAAAATTTGCAAAACCAGCCTAGTGACAGAAAGTTTTTAAAACAAAAACTCACTCCCACTACCTGTCAACTGTCACCATACTTCTTCATGCCTGAGGGGCTGACAGTAAACACTCTGCAGCATGTTTGCAGGGTTAACAGCCGTGATCGTCCCTTTTGACACTATCTCTAAAGCAATAGTGTTGTGTTCCTGTTTACAGTTAACTGTTAGGTGACACACAGACTCTGCAGCACAGTGGTCAGCTCACTCTGTGCCCTTCCTCACAGCATCCTCCCATCTCGGCTCTGTAAATGAAAGAAAACTGAAGGGGACGGGGAAAGACAAGATAGATGTAAAGAAAGAGCAAAGAGCCTTGGCCTCATAAAAGTCAGCCATCCTTATAATTAGCCGATACTCTGTTCCTGTCCAGCTGAGAGACTTCACAACCAAACATTAATAACAAACTGTCTTTGCATAATCAAACCGACTTTCCAACACGCTTCATTGAGCTGTCTCTCAGGACAGTGAAAGCACAAGTGGCTTGTTTGAAGAAAAATGTTTCCATCATCGGCAACTAGGCTGTAACAATAAGGTCATAAATCAGGAGAGATTTTTCACATTTGACAGTTTATTGAAATGACGCAATTAATGGAAAATGTTAGTGCAGTTTTACACTTCTAATGGTGAATTTTTCTCTTTCTGTTCTCCTCTAATCTGCTACAGCTCCTGTCAACTTCAACAAAATGCCAAGCTAATTAAACAACATCTACGCTCAGACTATTGGCTCTGTAGCTATTTTCAATTTACTGTTTGGTCTTACATTGGATTTAGATAATGTGTGCAGTATTGTCATGAACCATAAAGTCAGGAAATTAACATCTGCCAAGGATCAAATTCAGGTAGACTTTCAAATGTCATTTTGTAATAAATTGGTAATTATTAACTTTTTACTTTCACAATTGCTGTTTTCACAACTGTTTTTTGGGGGCAACAAGACTCTTTTTAGGTGAGACCAGGCTTTAACGATGAACAGTTCTTAAAAAAACTGTCTGCAAAAAACTCAATTATCATTTTGGACGATAAAAAATGTGCATAACCTGTCCATTTTTTTATCAACCTGCTGCCTCGGCTAGTGAGTCAAAGAGTCGAATTTGGACCCTGCATATACACTGTATAATAAATGGTTGTTTAAACTTTGATAGTAAGCCCGGACTTTTAACTCAGTGTCTTATTACGTTATTCTTCTCTCTATTCTCTTTACTACTCTTGCAAAATCATAATATGATGCATACTTGGAGAGGCAAACTCTAGCCATCACAATAACTAATTTAAACTCAATATTTTGTACTTTTTGCTCTCCAACAATCCTCTCTAAAATGTTTGCAAGATGGAACCTCCTGGCATAACACTGCTGACTGTTTTATTTTCCTCCACTGCTTCCCAACACTGCTTGTTCAAAACACAACTTGGTTCCCTGGACTTAGGAAAACAGAATTAAAATACAAATATATAAGCAAACATATCTCCAAGTAGTTCTATCCTTTAAAAAGCCATTTCCTTTTTCGCTGAAGTCTGAAGTTCCACTTTGAAAGCTGTTGTTTTAATTCTGCTGAAATGTTCAGACTCACTTTGACATATTCACCGGCAGTTGTTCTTTTGCAGATATAACATTATTCAACTTGAACTGGGCGTTTGCCAGCTGCCATTGCAACACTTTTCTTGGGTACGGTGCTTTAGGAACACATTTTGTCTAACATACGCTGCAGCACTCCCTGATGTAAACACTGGAGCTTGTTAATGGTCCCCCAAGCAGCGCAGGACTGTCTATCTGTCAACTACTTACAGAGGACCGAGTCAAATTACTTGGGTGTTTATGTTATTAACACGCCTATCTCTGTCTGACTTCAGTGCACTTGATTGGGTCATTTGTTTTTTTGAAAGCTGATGGTTAAGATGATCAACTTCAGTAGAGGGTGTCCTACATTCTCTCTGTTAAAGGATTTTTTTTTTTAAGAGTACGGTTGTATGAGGTAACCCTCTGAGTGTACTCGGGATTCTGGAAAGCTCAGCCTCTTTGCTGAGAAAGCGGCTGGCGAACCGGAACAGGAGGCTATGAACCACTATAGACAGAATAAACCCACCACAGAGTTAGGAGTGGTAATGCATCAGTAACTGAAGAAAAGGTGTCGAAGAAAGAACAAGTGTCGATAGAATAGTTTGAGTTCTGTTAACAGTGGCAGATTTAATCAGAATGTAGACACAAGTTTTAGTTGTTTAAAGTGATCTTGTACTCACTTGACCTTAATCAGCGTTTCAACCGGCTCTGTGTTGGAGGAAAAAAAAGAAACAGCATACAGAGAGAGACTCAGTAAAGGCTCTGTTGGCTGAAAAACTGACACTGCACAATCATCCTGGCTTCATGCCTTCAGTTTAATTCATCATCGGTTTTGGCTGACAAAAACGTACATCTGGAAAAAGGATCCAGTTGTATGGAAACATATGGTTCAAATGCTGCCAGATGGCATATTTTCACTCCCTGGGTACTCTCTCTCTCTGTGTTTTTACACTCTACAGAAACTGTGGGGTAGAAATGTGAAAAATCAGTTTTTACCTTTGTTGGTGCTCTGTGAGAATGCATGCTTTTATAACTGTCCACTAAAAGATCTATCAACTCTATTTTTTTTTTTTTTCTACCTTTGGCATTTTGATGAAAAAAGTGATTTATTTTCAGGAATAGAAATTTGAGTTTGGCCGTCTCTCCCTCATTTTGAAGTACAGGTGCATCCAGTAAATCTGTTCTCTTAAGTGTCCCTCTGAGACTCTGCTCATCATGGAAACAAACCTTTAATATGTGAGACACTAAAGATTCTCTCAGATATGAGGACGGCTACAGCAAAGTAAACAGAATAAAGTTTACCTGCTCAGGAGAGAAGAAGATGAGGAAGGAAGGAGCTGTGGAGAGTGACTGAGACTGAAATGTAGGGGGGAAGGGAAGGGTAAGATCTAACCTCTGATAGTCTCTACTGGAAGGAAGGAGGCTTTGATACGGAAAGCAATTACTGCGCTTGAATTTGTATTATGTAACACGAGTCAGGGATTACCTGTTTTTGTAAAGGAAAGTCACAGATAAGGCTTTTTGTGTGGCTTGCATTGTAGAAGTATGATCCACAATGGATGTTAAATTATTTCACATGATATATTCTCTTTATTTCACTGCTTTAAAATATAAATTTGATAAAAACATATATCTAGAGTGAGATTAAAGCCTGTTCCAACACAGTGAAACTATGTTATCTATGATGCGTTTATCTGTCTTGGAGGATTTATCCTTTGAGTAATGTTCGCTTTGGATCTAGAAACATATTTTTGAGCCCTCCTGGTGTTATATGTGTTTGGCCTTGATGTGCAAGTCCTTTGATTGCCAGAAAGGTGTCTAATATCTCAAGTGCTGCATAAATAAATCATCTGCCTTGGCCAGAGGAGTTGATCAGTTTATGCATGTCCTTTGTAAGTTGTCAGCTTCTCCTGGGGGCATGTCTGCTCCCAGATAAACACATTTTTCTCCGCACACTCATCTTCATCATTTTCTGTCGTTTTCAGACAAATCTCCTCAGAGACTATGAGCGAGAGAAAACTGTGTATTACCCGAGAGGTTAGAGGGAGATTTGTTTTTTTTCTGTTTGTATCCAACATTATTTATCCTCTCTACACACCCAGCACTGAAATGGTTCTTTTGTCTATTGTCAGCTCAATGTAAACCTTTATCATGTAGCTCGTAAAGCAGAAATCAAAATGTTTCATTTCCAGCATGACGGAGGTATTCTCACTTAGATACAAGAAACTGTAAGATTGCATTGACCTTGGGGAGACTTCAGCCGGACTGGGGGGAAAAAATAACTTGAAAGAGAACATACTTCTCTGTTCTACATCAGCAGACTCTTCTCCCTCCAACTGTCCAATATCTGTGATGCATACTAGTTAGTGCAAGATCTTTCTCATCTTATATAAACATTATCCTGTGGTAGAGGTGTCCTGATCTGATATTGTTATCAGATATCTGTCCCATATCAGCAAATAAATGAATATCGGAATATATTGGCCTGTAGTGTTGGGCGGTATGATGGTATAGACCAGTGGTTCTCAAGTCTAGTCCTCGAGGCCAACTGTCCTGCATGTTTTGGATGTTTCCCTGCTCCCACACACCTGATTCAAATGATCAGCTCGTTATCAAGCCATTACAGAGCTTGATAACGAGCTGATCATTTGAATCAGGTGTGTTGGAGCAGGGAGCAACTGAGTGAAACACTTAAAATGCATAAGTTTGTGCTATGATATATCGGCCAGTATTGAAGGCTACAATTTTGGTATCATATCGGAAGTTTAAAAAAGTTGAATCGGGACACCTCTCACTTGGGATTCCATAATTATTAAAGAAGTACACTTTATATGGTGAATTTAAGAAATTTCCTAAAGGTTTACATTGAAACGAATCAAATTAATGTTGCTTTTATTCATGTATACAAACATGTGGTCTCTCAGGGGGGAAAAGGAAAGCCAAGTAGCAAGCACCAAAGAAAAAAAAGCAATATGGAAGTCACAAAATCTGCAGTAAGTCAAAAAGTCACTTAGCTGGTTTCAACAGGAAGTCAAGGAGACCCATCCTACGTCAGTTTCAGCCTGAGTGGAGGTTTTCCAAACTATACAACAACAAAAAAAAAAGGAGTTTGTTGAGTGACTAGTCGTCTGTCTCGCTGTCTGAAAAGCATGTATGGGCTGAGCATATTGCATTTGCTTGAAGAAATCAGCCTGTATAATTGGTCTGTTTATGGCTTGAGTGAGTCTGGTTGTCCAGTAAGCCGGCTGTTCACTAAGTTTTCATCTCAGCTGGTTCCATCACTGAACTTTATGTACTTTTGAAATGTTTTCAACTGAGCGTTTAACACAAAGTTTGCACAGTGAATACTGCTAATTAACTGTCTAGTGAGTCTGTCTATCAGTTTTTTTGGGGTGGGTGGAAATGTACTCCATATGTGAACACTCATTAGTAAGAATCAGTGCCCCCACTCATGATATCAAGCTGTTTCGCTCGGTCATTGTTTCTCATACTGTAGTTTATGTAAGCCTTTGCTTGCATGGGATTTAGGATTACTGTTGGCTTTTGCTCGATTATTTCCTGTGAAAAACCCTTTGTGTAGATTTTCCTGTTGCAGGCTTTCTGGACAATAGTCAATATGACCCATTTCCTCCCTATGCTGCAAGAATGTATAAGACGGAGAAATAAAACGGCATTGTTACCTTATTGAAACTTAATGTTTCTGCTACAAAGTTGTGTTTCCATTTCTCCAGGAAAGGAACCGGCTTGTTAACTGTCTGTAAGTGATTGAGGCGAAGACCGAGAATTATCGATCAGGCTCTTATGCAGAAAAGCCCCGGCAACCCTCTCAGTAAATATTTGTTGAGCTCGCTCTCTCTCCATCCCTGAGAACAATACAGACAGCGTATGCTAATTTATACTTTGGGAAGGCAAACATTGAACACGGAGAAAGCTCTCCTCCGCTCATAAATAAGACAGAGACAGAGAAGAAGTGCTGAACCATCCATTCCAACTGTGTGACTCGCTGAGCCGCAGCTTTATATTAACCTTTTTTCTCTACTTGGTAGTCATGTCACATATTTATTCTTTGGAGGTTTCAAAGGATGTTTTCTCACCACTATAGTATTTTAAAATAGAACATTATTTTGTTTACATGTGTGTAGATGGCTTGTTACATTGACTCACAAGTTATTAATATATGACCCCCTCCTGTCAACACCAGAGAACGGCTGTCGTCTTTTCAATAAAGTAATATGCTGTACACACTGAAGGCAGAGGGCACGTACAGTTATCGTCTAAGTTCATATATAACTCTCACTGATGCCACAAATTCTAACTTAGTTTTAAACAAGGTGGCCCCGGGGCTCCTCTATTTTTTGACAGCATGTCATGTGTTTCAACCAGTTTTCAGTCTGACCCCCTTAAGCTTGGCAGAAATGCTCTCTGCCTGTGTTCAGTTTTCTGTCAGACTACAGCTGACAGAGGAAGAACAGGGAAGATTTAGAAGTAGAAAAAGAAAAAACGTCCTCTTTAGGGTTTCTTTTAAGGCGTAGCAGGATTGATACCACCAGATTTAATGAATTCAGAGTTGTATCTGATGGTACAGTTCTATGCTTGCTGAGCCTGATGATTCTTATATCATTTTAAAGCAGCTAGTATTGATTTTGAAGTAGGGCACATGGATTTGCTGAGCAAGTACATCTGGATTTAACTCTATCAGTCTCTTTTAAAGGGTGGGGATTTATCTACAGTCCCAAAACGTGGAGAATTTCTGCCCTCCAAGCAAATCTGAGTCCAACCGGGCTCTACAAGACAAGGTGCAGAGAGCTAGATTTGATACCATACAATACTCATTTATCATTTTCTTCATGTAATTGTTCGTCTGAAGGAGTATTTAAAGCTGCAGTGTTGGATCCATAGAAACTTTTCCGTTGCTCTTGCTTTGTAAGGGAGGTTTACACAGTGAGTGATTTTGTGTTCCCTGAGGCCCAAAAGTTCACGGTGCTAATGCTTGTGATTGGGACAAGGTCCAAGACATTCTCTCCAAATCCCTGACTTAAGTCTTTTTCTAATCCATTCCCCCTTCAGAGGCTACAAGCAAGCGAGTGTTTGAGGAAGAGACAATAAAAGAAAGCTGAAAGTTGCTTCAAAGGACTGATTGACAACCAAGAAACGATAACAGAGTTGTGTTGTGGTGTTTCATTCATGCACAGGGAGAAGACTCACGCTGTTGCGGGATGTTTGTCCAGTGTGCTGAAGAATTCATACAGACAGCACTGAATCTACTCAGCCTAAATAATTAGACCTTGTGGGGACTATCAGAGACATTTTTGGAAAACACACACACTTATGACAGCCCTCCCCCAAATACACAAGCACACTGCTCCCCATAATGTCACTCTTAGTTATAGTTATCAGATTAAAGCCAGCCTGTTGCCAGATAAGAATTAATGACTTACTTGGCTCTGACGGGACGAAGTCTTAAGCAACTTTGTGATCAAGTCAGATTTGAATCAGGTGTTGGACAGCTAGACTGTTTGGATGAGCCATTTTGAAGAAGTAAGTGTTTTATTGTTGTAGCGGGTAAGCAAAAACTGGCCAGCAGTTTCTGGTGATAATTTCCACCCGAGTGGAACATTTGACAGAAACTTGTTAGATTGTCAAAAATCTCTTGCGTGGGTTTAAAATAGTTGACTTCCAACCCGCGGAGAGTCTTGAACTCTCGTGTTTTCGTCTCTCCTTTAAATGGGGCAAACTACACCAGCTGTATCAGAGGCAGAAGTGCGGACTGCTCATTAAAAGTTGCAGAGATCAAAGTTTAATTGGAAGTGTTAAGGCAAAGAAAAGCACTGTGTCGGCTCGCATAGAATGCAATTACTTTTACATGTCTGTCAATTACAGTGTGTGTACTATGTGTGTGTGTGTGTGAGGTATTTTTAGGACAAAAAAGTCAAGAAGCTTTAAGAAGTGGTGTTAAGTTTGTCTCTGTTAAAGCGGCGGAGGAGGAGCTGAGGAGTTTTAGCTCATTACGGGACAGACTTCATCTTTACAATCTGCAAAAGCAAAGGAGACCCTGTAATAACTTTCCCTCAGTCTTTATGTTATTGATGTGCAGGAAAGCAAAGGTTTGTATAATCTCAGGCAAAGTTTGAGTCAGTCACTGCCAGTTAAAGCATGTGTTTAACACGATCAGTTACGCCGCGCTCTTCTGAACAAAACATCTTTTAATCAAGGCATTCGCTGATGGACACGAAGAAAAACAACTGCAAACGAGTCCTTCCAGAAGACAGAAAATCAAAGTTGGCCTTCATTCAGTAAACTTATCAGATTTGTTAAATCAGATGATGAAAACAGTACGATTTGATTATAACCGGACAATAACTAAGACTACTCTTTATCAGCTTTACATCTATTCTTGGAAATAATAATGCTGCACAAATGGTTTTAATTAACAGGTGCATGAGGTTACGCTGCTTGTCTGATTTTACACATATGTGGTCATTCTAGGTTGAGATGTGACCTTAAGGAATCATGATAACACTCGAGATGGAGTTCACCCAGCGGTTGTGAGGCTTGACTCTGACTTGATATTTCTTGCCTCAGAACAAACTGATAAAAGTGAGGGGAGTAACTTTCATTTCCTCCCACTCTTGCTCTCTTCACTGTCTTCTCTTTATACCCAACATGTGTAGCTCTCCCACATCTCCTCCACGCATTACTCCCTTGATTCCTACCTTGTGTTGTATTGAGACAGAGTCTTTGGATTTGAAGCTAAATAAGACAAATTCTGAACTCACAGGCACAGAAAAGACATCCATGAACTGTTTACTTTGCGTTTGTTTGTGATCTTCAGCATGATTGTTTCTTAAATTTAGACTCTTATAGTGATTTTCCTGCCTTTTCTGTCACTTCCAACTTCAAGATGTTTAAAGTTCAGCCTTTAAAATCTGCAAGTGCTCTTGTTGACAGGAAGATAAAGCTTGACTCTGAGAATAACACAGTTGCAGTTTCTTTTTGGCGCTCAGTGCCTATTGCATGTCAATAAAAAGTCTATGGGTGTGGGCCACTGGCCAGTAGGATATGAACTAGCGGTCTGTTTAAAGATTGTGTCATCTGACATTAGGTCACTATATAAATAGAGTGCTCCATCAAAAAATCAATTTTAATTTCCATAAGTGTAGTCTGCATCCCACAAGCCTGATGTGATAAATGGTAGAGTTTAAATCTATGTTAATATGTGCGGTAAATGCTATTTTTATTCTTCATCCAGTTTTCATATTCTCCTTCCTTACAAGATTAACTGAATAAGTGAAAAGGTTTTGCGCAAAGCTTCCAAATGGCCCTCAAAATTAAGAGTCATATTTCCCAGATCAATGAAAGATCACAACAATAAACAGCACATCCTTTTATGCGGGGAGCACACTTTCACAGATAGACTCGTCTTCATTAGCTTCTCCTATAATCTATAAACATCAGATGGGCAGATCAATAAAGCATATGGGAGGTCTTCTGTCTTAACAACATAACAATCTAGTACTGCGCTGTTCTTCATTTGTTACGAATCAGGGTATCTCACTTACCAATTAAGGATTGTTTTTGCCGGTCGTGCCTCTGTCCTCAGGGACCTGATCAGTCATGTAAATAAAAGGGTCTGTGTTGGGAAGCAGTGGAAAGTAGGAGGTAATGGTCTCTGTTGTTCACCTTGCTTAGCCTTTGTGTTCACTGATCGATCAGCTGGAGAATAACAAACGAAAGTTCACGGACAAAGTGCCCATTAGCTGTTGTGCAATAAGCTGATCCTGTTCTCGTATTGATTTTGAAGCTCAGGGTTTTTGACAGAAAGTGAAGTGTTTGTGAGAATGTAGGTCTTCAGGTGATTTCACAGAACTTTCTGTTACTCAGTATGTGATAGTTGAAAGTTAGCATCAGTAAAATCATTCCACATTAGTACACAAGTTATAATGCACTATTTTCACAAAAATGAGAGTAATAGTTGGGCTAATTTTGGTGTTACCTACAGCTGACCACCGGTGAGAACAATAAACAAGCTGTAGAGTCGCTGCGCAAGTATCCCCCACACCTGTTCACATTTACTCCCCTAACATACTTGACTTCGGTTTCAATTCAAAGGTCAAACAAGCGGCTGCTGGAAGAGAGTGGGTGAGTTGTGTTTAGTCTCTTTGCTAAAGAAATTAGGCAAAGCTAAAAAGATGTTTGGGGGTTAGTGCTGTGGCTAGGACCCTATATGTCCTGTTGATGAAGTTAGGTGCTGTTCTGAGCATTACTTGTGGCTATAGAGTGGCGTTTTGGTTGAGTGTAACTCGGTTTTACTCAGTGTGTTTGACCCTAAATTAATTTTACGCCTGAATATCCCTTTAAACCAGTCATCTCTGTGCCTGGTCTTACCTGCATTTGAGTGAACTTGCGATAAGTGTTGCCAAGTTACTTTCATCTATTCACTCTCTTCTCCAATCAAAATATTCACAGGGTTCCAATAACATGACCCAAAACAGAGAGTATATTGATAGCGAAATACTCAAACTTGTAAAAACATTCTCACTGCCAACAGAAGCTTTTCACAGGTACATGTAAGTCTATTACCAAAAGTGTAATTATTAAGCAGCATAATCATGGACTGGACAGAGTTAATGCTCAGAGCTGACATCCTACACGAAACCTGAGAGACCACACCAACCAGTGTGATCAGCACCTGCAGGTTGGGGACAGTGCCCTGTACTTATTCGACATCGGCTGTAGCTGAAAGGAGAGCTCTTTGAATAAATCACACAGGTCTCACTTGTTAAAAAAGAGTCACGTCCGATCACGGATTAATCTCTCTTATCTAAGCACACTTTAATCAATTATCCTTTTCATCTGTTATCCTGCCATCCCCTTTTTTTCTTTGACCATTGCTGGTTTTTATTCAACCTATTTGTCAAAGCAGAGTATGATATATTGCTTTCTAATTTGACAATGACAAATTATCTTTTATACGTTATTTTCATGTCTTATTTGGGACTTAACTGAGCCCAGAAATTAAAGCGTTGAATTTTAATGAGCTCTTTGTTCCCTGTTGGTTTCTCTCGCAGTCTTTCTTAAATTCTTTCTCCATCACGCCTCTTGCCCTCGTCCCTTGCCTGTGCTTACAGTGCAGTAGCCTTACTGTTCCTGTGAATGGCATGCATGTTAATTGCGGTAATGAAGGTCACCCAAAGAAGCAGCTGGAGTCCTTCTCTGTATCTACAACACTTCCTGTAGGGAAGTTAGTGCCTTGCGTGCGCCTCACCAGGACACCAAAAACACCATATGCTCCCCTCCCACCACCTCACACCTCTCTGAGGGCTACTGCTGAGAAAGATAATCACAGAGCCGTGGGCATGGCGGAGCATGTGAGATAATACAGTGTTGAGTTCAGTTTGAGCAATAATTGCTGTCTGGTAGCACAGAGACTCTACTGGGCAAATTTGTCTTTCTGACCACCTAATGAATGAATTAATGGGTCCACCTCCTCCTGAGCTTCGTATTACAATTTGCATATTGTCATTTTGTTTGCAGTTGCTCTGCAAATGTTCAAAGGTCCTGGAACATTTGTGTAAAGCTCACAAAGAGTCCAAACACTTTTTACCGAGTCTCCACATTTCAATCTGAGTTTTATCTTATTCTGCTTTTCCTCACAGACCACAAAGCTGGCAGCACAACTGTGTGTGTGGTGCACATCTATTATAGATTTCTCACTTACCTTTTGTTGCTGTCTGGTGGAAAACCATTTATCTTCAAATGAAAACTTTTTACAAAGGAGGGACACAACCTTATTTTGAGCAAGGTGACAATGCATTTTTGAGATAAGCTGGAGGATTTGGAAACCGTTCCATGAGCTTTAGACTTTGAAGAATTCCCTCAACTTGTAATCCTTCTGCTTAATCAAAAATGCACGAATCCTGAAACCCTCGAGGTGCATGGATTTACCGGACACCAGGGCCCCTGCAAAAATGTGTGATAAGGGCTGAGTAAAATGCTTTCCAATTTTCTTTTTAATTTGAACACCGCAGATGGGGAAATATCAGCAAGTCTAAGAGCCTCATGAAGAATATCAGTCAGGAAAGCGATGGAAAATCTGGCCAGAGAATTCTTCAAAAAAATTAACAGGAGATGTGCAAGTTTTTGAAAAGTCATGCTCTCTAGGTTTGTACTTAATAAACCTTTAATTGACAGTGGCTTTTAGGCTCTACATTCAGAATTGTGTAAATTTTAACCACTCAGCAAACTCCGACCATCCTTTCAGATTGCTTTTTAATGATGGTCCCAATCACCTACTCATTAAAGATCACTCCCTGATGCTTTTTTAAGTTTGAGGTAGAGCTAGTGCAGCTTTTATCACCCTGAGCAAACTCACCCCCAATGTCCACCGCATCTGGAACGGCTATGAAAAGGCTGTATCCGCTGATCGCAGCTGATCGTCACCATTCAAGTTAATGTGTCGATTTCCACCGACTTCTTTCCATTCCACTGCGGATCTCCGGACTCCGCAGCTGATTGCAAGAGCTGAAGCATGCTGGATAAATTCAGCACAGTTTAACCTGTGCTGGAAAGGAAGTTGAGCACAGACACAAAATAAAACACCCGGCTTCTTTTCAAAATAAAACACGCCATGTTTCAGGCGAATCGTATTTTACACCATGCAAAAAGGCGGGAACGAACAAGTGAAAGGTTTTAAGACAGCTTTTCAACCCGATGACACCATAAATGAGGAGATGCTGATTCCAAAAGTCTAGAAGTGGATTTCATCCTCTGGTAGGCCACAATCTACTGCTTATATGGTTATGTGGCTGTCTTTATAGAGACAACTTGTTATCGCGCGATTGCACGTGAATCTGCGGGTTCTTGTAATTTTCACAAATTGATCCGTTCTGCATTGGAGCCGTTGCGGATGTGGTGGAAATTCGGGGTCAGTCTGGCTGATACTGTATAGGATGATACATACAGTATCATAAGAGGTTAGTTTTTCACTTGAGAAGGCTGTGTCCAGTCCAGACATGTCACAGACATCACATATAGTCTCTACGCCCTACAGGGACATTGCTTGTTTTATGAAAGTCATACTTGACGAGTCTCCTGAACTAACAGTATGATTAAAGTATTTTTCCTAATCCCTACACATAACTTATTCGTAGTGGGGGTTCAGGTCAACACCAGGCAATCAGACAACTTGAAGTTTCATGTTCATCAGGATTTAAAGGTTAGACAGGATGAGGACTGGCACTTTGGCATCTCACTCTCTCCAGGCAGCTGTGTGGCTCAGCAGCCAGGTGACAGCAGCCTGCAGGGACTCTCGAGGTCTACTGCGGGGACTTCCTCTGTCAGACATTGGGTGGGCTGTTTTCTGGTATTTCACATTAAGGGCATGGCTCAGCACCCCCCCCAGGATCCCTGACAGTGCCGTGTTCGTACACTGAGTACAGTTCGCTGCAAAGCACGCGTACACTTATACAGGAAAATGAGTGTTTGTGTGATATTTATTCATTTAGGCACAGGAAGAAGATGATGTCAAAGGAGGTGCTGATGTTTTGATGTTTAAGTTTGGCTCGTCTTACGTGTGTTTTGTTTAAGATGAAGCCAAGGAAGAGCTGAATTTCTCATTATTTTCTCGCACTCAACACGGCACTAAAAGCGGAAGGAAAGGAAGAATGATATCATCGTTTACTATCTGTCCTCAACCCCCAGCTGTTTTCCTGCCACATGGAACATCTTTCATGGCAAGAACAGATGGAAACTCACTGACTGATGGAACAAACGGAGCTCTTCCTGTTTATTCCTGACAAAGTAGCAATCTGTGCTCTTTAGTGACACTTTTTTCTCTGTGTGAAGGCCAATCACTTCTGCTTATCCATCAGACATTGGCTTCAGCTCAACACACGGTTCAGTAGAGGACAGTTTCAGTCAAACCATGTCAGATTGTGAGATTAATATTGCTGTGATTTCTGTGCGTGTTGTATAGAGATTGAACCAAGGTGTGCTTGGTGTGGCGAAGGTTAAAGGCAAAGTAAGTGTCCTTTACAACCACAACATGAAAAGCAACAAAAGTGTTAAATTATCAAAAAGGTAGAAAATAATTCTAAAATAAGAGATAGGACATTTAATTATTGGAAAATATTTGGATATCCTTGAATTAGGAGGTTAGAAGATATTTTTTGCACCAAACTCCATTTAGGATTTCATGATTTTTTTTTTTGTCAGAATATGGTGAGTACTGCTCGAGTTCAGAGACTACACAATAGTAGTAATCAGGTGCTTGTTTGGCTACAGGGAGAGTTGGAAAGTTGGAAATTACCGTTATTGGGTCCATGAAATATATTTGTGGATTATCTTCATCACTGTGAAAGCCTCATGTATTACTTTCTATGACTTGAGGCAGTGGAAGCATGTTGAGATTGAACAGTAGGGGTCCCAGAACGGATCCCTGTGGAACCTCATGGCATGACCAAACAAATAATAATGCCCGTGACTTGCTGATACTGAGGGGGAGCGGGACCATCAACTCCTGGGCTCAATAGAGGATCCATACCTGCTGAATATAATGTATAAAGCATGCTATATTAGAAGTCAAAATTTTCACAACCAAGATGCTGGTGTAATTTAGATTTAGTTGATGTACTTTAAAAGTTTTATTTGTTGAACTTAATTAGATTATTTTTTCAAACCTGCTCAACTGTATGTAAGTCAGGTCTTGATAATCAAGAACACATCATTATTTCCTTTTGTACTTTCACAAACTTTCGATAAACTTTCTCAGAGATTAACTAGAAATTTAGTAATGCAGCCAAACATTTTGTTTCTAATGAGGAGGGAGACCGCAAAAACCAACATAACATTGAGTGAACACCTAATGAGTGAGCTAGCAGAAATAATTCAAGACTAAGAGGAAATTATTGATTTGGTTTTTTAGGTTCATTGACATCAAGGAGCTTTTTCAACACTTCCTTCTATCTGGTCTTTCCTTTTATCAGCTTAATGCATCCTCATCTAATGACACAAAATCATCAGCAAATAACAGCAAACAAGAGCCAATGAATCGAGACGTGTCACATTCAACTCTTGTTTAATAAATCACTGGAAAAATGTGATCTGAATGTACAAATGTGGATGTGTCCAGATCAGCCTCTGTTTCGGTTCTATAAGTGACCTTTTTTGAATGATTCATACTCTATCCCTCTCTGGCTTTAACCAAATATTTATGAAAATATGAGGACAAATGAATTTATCACAACATTAAAACAAATAGAGATTTTTGTAGTCCGTTTCTAACACTGTACAGTGAGCACAGCTTTGATGTCTTTTGAAAATCATTCACTGTTTGCTAAATTTTACAAAAAGACAAATCAGAGAAACAGTTTCACAGGTCATCATTAAGTCCCCCTGTGTGTATGTGGCTAATACAGAAGAACTCTTCTTCAATGGAGCCATAATGAAAAACATCCCTATACTCAACTTCAGTATAAGATGTCTGGCTTCAGTTGGTGTCAAGGATTTCATCTGCCTTTCTGGCACAAAAAGATGTCTACATGAATTTCACTTTGGCTCAGTCGGATGTCTTCATGTCCTTGATGGAGGCTCATGCAGAGGAGTGCTCATGGCGCATTTCACCAACAAGGGAGGTTAATGGATTTTCTTTACCCTCTTTGGTGACATTTAACATCTATTATGTAGCCAGAAACTTTCCACAAGTCAAAATGTTTCACTTTTGGTCAGTGGGGCTGTGAGTTTTATCCTCAGCTTGTTCGCTGTCGTCTTATCACAGGAGATGAGCTGCGGGTCACAACCATTTAAAGTGTGATAGTCTTAATACACATAGAGCAGAGGTCCTAGCCAAACAATTTCCCCAAGTTTAATTAGAGGTTTGATTTATTTTTAGATTTCTACTGTGCAAACCTACATCAACTCCATGTCATATATTGACCTCACTGTAATCCTCAAAAAGGTTGTCAGGTGGTTTCAATTCTTTTGAATGCAATACATGGTATGATTCATAATTAGACCTTTCACCTAATCCCAATATGAATCACACTCATGATACAGTACACTCTCTCGACTGAAGGATTTGATACTTTTTCTCTACATGTTTTCCCCATTAATATTAGCTGCAGTTTATTCTTTGATATATAAACAATAAACTAATGTCGGTGGTTTTCAAGTCTTTATTTTTTGTAAAGTAGACTGCATATCAAAGATGAGGGAAAAAAGTGCCCTCTGTCATCATTCTACATGATGCTGTTTTGAGAAATGTCTGCAGCAGGCCTAGAAATGTCTTTCTGCGGTTTTCTTAAACTCTTTAAGCAGCAAGATGATGAATGTTTGAAGCGAGTTTTGCATGATAATTGTTTCTCTTCATCACACGCGCTCTACACGGGTGGACCCCCACAGAGTATTGCTGAGTAGTTTCAGCATTTTTATCAGAGAAAGATTTCAATCTGCAGCGGATAAACTAAGCACTTCTTGAACTGCAATGTTACATGTCTAATAAGGATGTGCTCAATCTTTTGCTGCTGCGTTCAAAGATTTCAATAACAGCTGGTCGGTGTTGACGTCATTGGTTAGATACATCATAAACAACAAGCCTCCTCCACTTGTGAATGACATGCTGTGAAAACACAAAAACAGGTAAATATTTGAAAATCCAAATTTGATGTTTTGGGCAACTTTGTAGAAGATACTGCTGATTAAAATAGCAAGTAGTGCAACAGAGCAAAATGCTGTGTAAGGAGAGCAGAGATGGCATCAAGTAAGCAGTTTAAAGATGGTCATCTGTGGGGAAACACTGCGTTAATGAAAGCTCAAGCAGATCCTTGTTAGCAGTCAGCTCTTATGCCTAATCTCAGCGTAACTCCGTCCATATTCGATCCAGACATTGCTTCACTAAACCTCGTCTAAAGGAGAACAGATGGACTGTGAAATGTAATCTGGAAACAAGCCGGAGCTGTATTGCTTTGATTCACCATTTGATTTTACTTTTTAGGGATGAAGGTAAAATTCAATGGACTGACTCACCGGTTAAGCAATCCAACTTGGACAGACAATTCAATAATAACTGTGAATGATTTCCGATGTTTGGATAGTAGAAAAATACAAGGGAAGGTATGGTAATAGGTTAAATTCCTTGTTTGCAAACATCAAAGTACCAAAAGCCAGACCACCTAGACAAAGATGAATGCATGTCTGAAGAGACCACCAGTGGCAGAGGAGAAAAGGGGAATTGAAGTGAGTTGAACTCAGTTGGGATGAGGATTATTACCTTAAATAGTATTTTATCATTGAGGTGAGACAAGGATACCACCAAGGGAAGCAATAAGTATAAATGATCCAAATGCTCTAACCATCTCAGGTCTTAAAAACAGGTTGTCACAGACTCTTTCTCTTTGATGCTACATGAGTGACCCAGGTTTGACACAGAGGTTGTTTTCAGTTGAAGGATATCCGTTCCAGGCACATCAGTTTAGGTCATCCTGAAGAAGTAAGTGTTAAGGAATGCACTTTGTTTTGGCTGTTTGAAGTTCCGACTCATGCTATTGCTTGATCATATCCAGATAGGGTTGCTATGAGGACTCGGTGTATTGACATCCCCAGACTCCAACAAGTTCTGAATGTGTTTTATCTCTTTTCACACCAAGCCAAGAGATTTTCCAGCCAACTGTAATGACCTGACGCCACCTCGTTGCTGTTTTGAAATTTCCCCGGCCAATTAAGTTGATTACAGAAAACAAGAAATCCCAGAAAATTAATAAAAAAGTCATTTCATCTTCAAGCCTGGTGGAGTTTTCAATCAGAAATTTAATCAGTTTAACTTGTACACGGCCTACAGGGAGCTCTGGTAGGCTGATGTGTGTTAAATCTGTCACATAGCATCACAGTAGGGGGAAAGCCTCAGGTCGGTGCCCCAGTGTAATTAAATATTTCCTCGTATCGGCGGACCTTGGCTTTAGAGGAATGTCTACTATGTGAGCAGGGGGCTGGTCAAATAGCTTTGTTATTAAGTGGTTCGCGGCGCACAGGGTGATGAATGAGCTCAGAGGGTCCTAATGTGGAATACAGGCTTCACTGGAGACCATGTGTTTCCTCTCTGGATGTTCACTCGTGCAGGAAACGACGACCGCTAGGAAGTGTGATTGGTTTCTCTGCCTCTGCATTACATGCTGATGTTTTCCCTTGGTTTCTCTTTATTGCACTCTGAGATGTATTGCTTGGCTTTGCATGGTCATTAAATGTACAGACTGACACACCGAAGCTACAACCAGGCATGTAGAAAACAAACCCGACATTTGTATGCACCTGAAATTGTTGTGGTCATTTGTGTTGCTGTGCTGGTGGCTTAATAGCTCCTCCAGAGACTGAAAGCTTCAATGAACCATTTGTGTTTTTAAAAAGGGTTTCTTCTGGTTAAAAATGAGGCTGAGATTGTACCCACTTATGTGAATACCCACTTGACCAAACATTTTTTAAAAGAGATGTATTTTAGCATTTCAAAGAGAGTGGCAGCATTGGCACCTCATCGTCCCATAGCTAAAGTGTTTTTGTCATCCATGTTATAAATCAGTTTAGGGCTGTAATAAACCAAAGAAATTCTTGTTTGAAATTTTCAACCAACAATTGATTAATTGGGGGGGGATTTTGCCGACTCTGACGGCAAACCCTCCGGCTTGGAGGGGTGAAAATATACTGATATCAGCACAAGAAGGCAATTGAACACAATGAAAGTTGAAATGCTCAAAATAAAAATAAATATTCATCCAACCACCAGGCGCTGAATAACGTGGATCCTGTCTCCAGCTGGTCTCCAGTGGGTTGGGCGAATCCAAAATGGTGAAAATAAGGGGGGTTATTCTGACACAGGCTGTTACCTGTGAAGCGGGGGTGATCCAAAAACACCCCCATTAGCACTTGGTATGTTCCTCCTGATGAAATTAACTATAGGCTGTAAATTGACGCAGAAAAAAATCGAGTCGCCCAATCAGAATTTTCGTAGACTCAGCACATACCGACCGATAAGGTTGCCGAGATGCAAATTTTGATCAAAACCAAGTCTAGTTCAGGGATCCTAACAGAAGATTCATGTCTACAGAGAAACTAGAAAAACTGAACCACATTTAAATACAGTGATATAAACTTAAATATGTGGTATCACCAGAGATGTTATGATGTGAAGGGATCCATTGCATTTCATTATTTCTTCTTTTATGTACATTTTCCATACTCTGTACTTGTTCAGAGGAAAAACAAAAAGTAACATTTGAAAAACTTCAGTCAAGGCTTTGTAATTAAATCAGTTCTGAGTTACTTTAATTTGAACCGAAGTCAAAGACGCTTTGGTGCATCAAATGAGAGTTTTCATATTGGACGGCTGACGCACACGATTTGTCAAGCCTCCAGAATCCTTTTAATGTGTTGTCCTTGGGTGCGTGTTATAATTGGATGGATAGCAGACATTACTTGAGGCAAAAGACAGCTATGTCTTAAAAAGCTCATTTGGGTTTTGAAATCTCGCACACAGAACGAGCTCTGATGAAAGGAGTGACTTTGGTTTGAGGTCTTCAGAGACATAAACTGGTTTCAACATATGATTTGAAAATAATGTGAACATGAGGTTACACGGAGGTCATGTCAGTTAATGTTAGGTTAATATGATTTAACGTGCAATTTCTGCTTTATTTAATGTGCAGTGGAATTTCCCTATCAGTACTCATTATTAACCTCATTGCTTTTATTCATTTTAACAGCCATTAACAGCACTCCATGTGTATTCACAGTATGAACATTTACAGCTTGATTGTTGTTTTCAGGGGTTATTAGCTACTGGATATAAAATAAGGGGGATTGAATCATACATCAGACACTCTCTAAAAGGAGCAGTGCGCGAAAAAAAACGTCATGAGAAACTTTTCCTTTAAATTCTTGCGCAGTGATGACAGATCACTGTGAAAAATTAATCTATTTTCTGCAAAAGTTAGCTAAACATGTTTCATGTCTGTGGTTGGATGGTCTGGTAGTGATTTTAGCTGATTAAAAAAACTCATGGATTTATTTGAATCAGACAACACCACAGGATTTCTGTCAAACACGTTTACTTTAAATGTGAGTATGTGTTATGTTGTTGTGTGACTCCAGTGGTGTCTGTATCTGTTGTTGGAGAAACTTGCTCCCCTCAGGGTAGAACAGAGCTGATTTCTTTTCTATAGCTATTATTTGCCGTGATATATGTACTCCCTCTCACTATTAGTGCCTTGCCACTGCTTGGACACCATCCCCCTCCGAGGAGGCATGTACACAGAAGTCACTGTTTTCAAACCCATGAATTCACTGCAGAGGCTTTTGTCACAGGATGATGCCAGTCTAGACAGTGATGTGTTTCATTCTAGTGACAGCTTCTGTCTGAAGATTAGAATGTGCTCGAACTCGGGCAGAGCGAGGGCAGCTTTAAAATAGACCTGTAATCACAGAGCAAGACGGAGGAAAGTGTTAGACAAGGCCTCAGAGGACAGCTTTAAGGCACCACTCACATACATGTCTTTTGAAGATGTTGTCTTTGCTATCATTGAAAGCTTCTGTTTATTACCTTTAGGAAACTGGGTTGTGAGTTCTGAAACTTTATACACCAAAAAGTTACCACATACCAAGACATTTCTTCACAAAATACCCCCTAAAATATAGCAAAATATTCACGAACGGGGACAAAACAGCACAGCATGATCAGGGAACATCATATTGTAAACTACAACACAGTTATTGAAGAGACACTAAAGTGTATGCCAGATTAATGCAACTATTAGGGCTGGGCGATGTAGCCTCAAATCAATATCACGATATATTGAGCAGTTCACCCTGATTATGATAAATGGACGATGACTACACCACAAGCTGCTCACCCCCTCCCACATTAACTTCATCTACTTCAGCGGCCGCTTCAATTTTTGAACCGTCTTCCATCTCCTCACCTGTCTTTCCTTCTTTCTTACCGGGTGGAGTCACGTCTCTGATGTAGGACAGTGTCTTAAAGGGACATGAGACCATAGCCTACCTACACACATCCAAAAACAACTTTGATTTACTTATTTTTTTGACACTGAATATATTGACATGGGCAAAATGATGCCGGTTATTGTCGTAAATTTCAGTATCAGTAAATTTTCAGTTTATCATCCAGCCCCTAGCAACTATTGTCTAAGTTTCACTCTCAAAGAAGTGAGATCCGTGTGACCTGTCAGATTTTGTTGTAGGTGGGATATTAGGTGAGAAAGTGTTGGGTTAAAACAGACCCAGAAAGAAAGAGCAAAAGGAGTGCACATTTTAGTGAATTTATTTTATGGTGGTTCAGTAAAATGAAACACCATCGCAGATAATCTGCCAAAAGGCGGATATCAGCCACGAATAATCTACCAATAATCCTTCAACTCCGACCACAAAGTGCCTCTTAGGGGAACCTCTCACACCTATCCTGTGTCAGCTCATTAAATAATTCCTCTTTTTCCTGTGGTTTCAAATTCTTTGCCACACACACGATAGCACTGATGTGTCCAAAGATCATTTCAAAACACTGAATCAATATTGACATGATGAATTCTGACATAATGTATGATTTGTTTCTCTTTCTGTTTAAACATCACAATTTCAGTTTTCAACTTTCCCTTTCAGCCTGAATCGTTTACTTTATGAGACTGATAATGATTCACAAGGATTCACTCCTTTGGTTTCTCCATACACATATCATCTGTTCCTTTAGGTCATATCTGGCCCACAGCCAAGCCAAACAAACAGTACACAGTTCTTTGTTGCCAAGCACTTTGTCCGCTAGTGTTTCTTACTGTCTCAATAGTTTCCAAATGACTTTGACTTTCTCTGTCCAGCTTGTAGTCAGTATTGCATCTGGACCGTCCTGGCTCTGTCCCTGAATGAACCTGGCCCAGTGCCACCCTCTGCTTCTCAGGTGTCTTTATGCCTTGCAAATGAGATCGCCATGACAACCATGTCTGCTTATTGTCAGAGCACGAAGCCAATTGACTGCTAACTGAGGAGGTCTGATTTGTCAAGAGATTCTTAGCCCACCTGGCTCAAAGAAAAGCTTGAAAAGGTGTCTTTGAAGTAGGACAGATGGGACTCAAATGACAAACTTTCATCTTTCCGACACTGACGTTCAAGGAAAGTGGGGAAAAAAAAGACACCCTTTGGCAGCTTACTGCCATTCTAGATAAAACAGCCCAATTCTCTTCTGAATTTGATGTTGATGTAAGAAGCAGCAATGGTGATGGTTAAGTTGTTGTCATCAAACTTTAAACCATTTTATGCAGTTTTTTTCTTAGAGTCCCACTCCAATTTTTTTTTTTACGACTTAAAGTGTTCTCAGTGGTCTTTAGATTGTGATCATGAAGTTTTTTGCTAAAATCATGTTTCCTGTGTCATTTTCAAGGGCTTTTGTTCTGCAGAGCTCGAGCAGCTCATTTGCAATTCGCCTCTGAGTCGTGGGCAGAGACAGCGCTGCTCTGCACACTTCTCCTCGAGTTAGCCTGCATCCTAACATTGCTGGTGTAGTAGAAGAAACAGGTAACATAGGAGCTATTCAGCTATCGGACAGTAATGTCTTTAGGGGTATGATGAAAGCTAATATCATAATTAGCTTTCTTATGAGCATTGCAATCCGCTAATGCAGACGCTTGTTCCGCGATCATCCTCTCTATTTCTCTGAGCCTGGCCTGCATAGCGTGGCTTTGGGGTTGGAGCTTGGAGTGGTTACGTAGGAAATCTCACTATGTCTAAACCTGCCGTTTGAGTCTGCAAGATATTCACAGTGATTTGAATGCAGAAATACTCAGAAATGCAATTTTGCACTTTTGTTATGATATGTCCTTTAGTATCAGAAAAATGCCACATGAACATGTAGACAACAAGAAAAAGATGATTTTCATCGTCTTTAAAGAAATAGTTGCAGTTGATATAAAATTAACAAATGATTGTATTCATATGTGAACCAAGATTTTGACAGCAGGTAGAGCTTGTTCTGTGGAGCATCTGTAACTGGTCGAAGCAGACACTCAAGGATAACACAGCTGTCCTGTTGTGATTTCTTTACATTTATTAGTTGTTTGTGGGCTGTTGAATCTCAGCTTACATTGAAATTACAGATTTACAGCAGTTTAAATCCATGAATGAAATATGACAAGTGTAACCTACAGAAAAGAAAAGGTCAAATTTAATCATTCAAGGACTCTGGAGTACTGGTGCGTGCTTTTCTTTCATTCCTAAATACCTGCTACTTGTGGCTGGACATGCAGACTGTGCTTTCTGTAATCCTCCAAGCTTACAGTCTTTGAACGAGTTACTCTACTGTCTCCACTGTGGGTGGTTTTTGGAACAAACACTCACGTATGAAGCCTCCCTGACCGTACGTTTACACATTATCCTCCATATCTGGTGTGGGCTTGTGTTATTCTGCGGTTTGGGATTTTCATATCACCGCTTGGTTGGCTCAAAGTCCTGATGCTTATCTGTTTCTGGCTGGTGGAGGGAGGCTTCTGGGAAGCACCAATGTTGTTATTAGGATTTAGTTGTATTACACAAGGAAATGGGTTATTAATATTATGCCAGTGCCGGTGGTCCTTACTCTCACTCTGTTTTCTTTTATGGAGTCTTTGGCAAACTCTAGTTTTACTACATGAACCCCATACTTATTCTGTTGTACTTATTCGGTCATTAGTTACCCTGGATATGTGTTCATGTATTCAACATTTTTACCTGTGTTTGTGTGCAATTAAAAGCAACACCCTGCTCTCTTCTCACATGAACATATATGTCATCATTGCTTTTTCATAGAGCTCAAGTTTTCCCTCGAACAACCACAGTTTTGATAATATTGCCCTGAGAGAAAGCTGATCCTGAGAAAATTCCCTATGCCGTGTTAGCAGTCTGTGTACAGTGTGAGGTTCCCCTCTCTGAGCCGCAGCGTTCGCTCTCAGCCAAACACAATAAGGGACTGATCCACTGGAGGAAGTGAGATCGTGTCACCATCAGAGCATGAGAAAGAAACCCCAGCATGGCCTTCCTCTGACAGCCCGAATGGAAACAATGGCTTTGGCAGCCTTTCATGAGTCTTTCCTTGTTTCTAGATATTATGTAGCCGGTCATGTTTGCTCATTCCTGTGAAGTTTGTTTTGCTTTGACATTGTGTACAGGGTGTGATCACAATTACTGGGTTTGCTTGGTGATAGCGGAGCAAATCAGGGAAGCGAGACATCATGTGCTTTCGTTTTGATCCACCGCAGGTAGAGACGGGAAAATTTTGAGCTTAGATAGATAGATAGATAGATAGATGTACTTTATTAATCCCGAAGGAAATTCAAGAGTGGTCAACTGCTCACAAGAATCAGTCACACACACATATGATATGATAAAAACAGATTATGAATAAATATCTAAAAATAAATAAAGAAATAAAGAAAAACTAATGGCAGGAGGGAGAACCAACTTGGGGACAAAGGCAGGGACAGGTAAAACAACACACCACAACAGAAACAGCGACAATGAGGACAGAAGTGTTCCAGCACTTCTGCCTTTGAGATATTCCCCCCACACCCGCTTGACTCCAGCTACTCCTACTCCTCCTCCCGTCTCTTCCTCCCGCTCAGGGAGTTGTGCAGCCTGATGGCGCTTATCAGCATTGTTGAATCTCAAAATAAAGTTGGTGAAGGTGGAGTGTTGTTGTTGGTATGGATAGCAGTCCAGGAAGCAAGTGATACCCTGTGGTACAAAAATGCCGGGTTAAGCCAGCTCCACTGTATTTGGTCATAGATACACATCAATAAAAGAAAAACACGACTTTCAAAAAAGGTCAATACAAAGAAGAAAACAGTTAACGTCTGTATTTTGATGTGAAGTACTTCTCCAAACACCACCACAGTAGCACTTAGCCTACTTGAGGTTTCATCGCAGCTGAAGCACTTGAGAAAACATTTCTCAGAGGCTTGTCCTTGATTGGTGTTTCAATAAAACCAGCTTCTCTAACCGTCAGCTCTAACAGTTTAATATGCAGGAGAGCAGCTCAGACAAAGTGGGAGTCAACACCTGAATATGAAATTGATGTTTTCAGAGGCTCAAAGGCGCCTGGAAGTATGATTAAGACCTCTGTGTTGACAATGAAGCTTATGGCCTTGAGACACAATCTCCCTTTCACACATTCAGTAATGCTTTCAAAGTCAGGTCTCAGTACAATATCGAACAGATAAGCAACCGAACAGCGCCACCACGTTTTGATCAAACACTCAGTAAATGATCCTCCCAATGCGAGCAGAGGATCATTCAAAGTGCATCTCTCATGTTTGATGATTATCCCGTGTAATGAAACTGTTATGCTAATCATGGAGTCTAAAGCGAGCTCACTGCAGAGCTTGTGATGTGACAGTGAGCGTGTTAATACAGGAAAGTGTCAGTCAGACTCGCTGGCTCGGGTTTTTGTGTACCCATTCATAAACAAGGTTGCGTCTTTTCATCCTTTGTGTTTTACAATCTGCTGTCAGGGAAATATTTACAACACAGTGACGTAAATGCTCGGCGTTGTAAAAAGTGAAATGGTCGTTACTCTCTTTTCTGTCACTTTCCTTTTTTTCTGCTTTGAGTCACAAAACATCACTTTAACAGTAAAAACTGAAAATCTTTCTATTAAATCTGCCTAAATCAATAAACTAGGGAACTTTATCACTAATAATAAGACAAGTTTTTAGCTCTGGAAACTACACACATCCAGTTGTTCAAGTGCTCAGATTTCTAGCTGAAGTAAAAGTGTTGGTGGGACAAAGTTCAAATGAAAAAAGACCTAGAGGGACAGCCAGGACCGAAGTCGTAAACTTCCTCATGCATTAACTATTGGCAAAATAAAACACTGCCACAGAAACCAACTTTATTTTGAACAAGCTGTGTCATTAAATCAAAAAAGATGGAAGCAAGGCTGGTGTCTCTGGGAGTAAGACAGCCTCAGGTCTGCTTTTGTAACTCCCGGGCACCAAGCTTCAACTTACAAAAAAGGGAGCAATAACCGCCTATTTCTGCTTTATCAGTTAAGGGAAAATAGTAGTTCTGTGCTGAAGTCTATCATCCGCAACGATGGAGACAAATCACTCCTGCTGCGAATTGGATGACCTGAGTCTCTAAACTCCCAGTTTTCAACACAGTTGTTCATTACACCAAGCTGTCATCCTCTTTATGAAATTTTCTAGTTTTATTAACCTCCTCTGTGACCCCAAACAAACCCGATCACTCACTTCATCTGTTTGTCATGGCTGAAACCGTCTGTTTGATTAAAAATAGGTTTAAAGAAAAAGATTGGAAAGAAATGACAGCACGTCTGGCTGCGTTATATCTGTCAGTTTGATCCACCTTGGACCTCCAGTATTAACTTCAGCTGTCTAAATGGATACGCACAACATCCCTCTTCTGTAGGGATTGTACTCACTGAATATATATCACCTGATGTAACACTCAGCTCTGGCTGTGTTTTCAAAATCCTTGTCAGACAAAGGTGATGTAAATCTGTCTCGCACCAAATCTGAACAGAAGTCCCAATGTGCAGTAAAAGGGCAGGAAGGCTGGTGGAAAACACTCAACAGTTCAAACAAAGGTATGCATGAGGGTACTGTAATGCTGCAGGGGCCAAACTGAGGACAAAATGATATCACTGGTCAGGAAATGAAGTCAGAAGCCCCCGTCTCACATGTCCCCCTGATAGTTAGATAAATTCAGAACATTCAGGCCCTGATCTTTCCAAGAAGTTGACATTTACATAAGGTGTCCACACGTGTCTCTCAGTAGAAGATTTTCTCTTTTAGACTGACAGAAACTTGTAATTGCATTTGGCTTAGATGCAGGAGGAGGTTTTTTTTTTTTAAGTAGTGGGGACTACGGTTGTGTTTGTATCACTACCTCACAAATAAACACAACATAGGATCATTTTCACCAACAACTGAGCTCAAAGCAGCGTGAATGATTTAATCTCACAGCCTAGGTGCTCCCAGCCAGACTGTTACCTGCAAGCTTTGAACAATTGCTTATTCAGACTTCATGCAGAAAATTTCAAGTGGCTTGCAGGAAAAAGTCTGAATCAAAGTAAGACGAAAAGAAATCTTTATTGGTCATCAGAAGTTTTCAGGGAATTTGTACATGTGTGAAATGGGCTGCACTGCTTTCTTTGGCATCTTAAAACACTTCCTTACCTACGTAACAATGCATCAGTTTGTCAAAAATACTCTGAGGGCGTAGTATCCAAGTACTCAGAAAATTCCCCCAAAGAATCAGCAAACAGCAGACTCTCCCTTTTTTTTCTCCTGAGTCTTAAAAATGTTACAAACACCCCAAAGCATGATTGTTATTGCACCTCCTGATAAAACTCCTGCAGTAGCCAATAGTTGAAGTGGAAGTGGAATGTTTTTGTCTGATTGTCTTGTCATTATGTCCAATATTTCTCCTGTGAGCTGCTGACGCTTGGGTGTAGTGTTATTTGTTACCTGCTCTGATTTAGTCAGCACTGCGGTAGGAGAGGAATGAGTTGTGTTCAGCAAAGTGTAAAACTACAGAGCAATTTATACTTTGACAGGAACAATTTAAGCAAGTGTTTGTGTTCTCCAAACCAATAGTGCAGAAAATGTCTGAACCTGAACTGATCACATAGTATAATGTTTGTACAGAAAAGTATTACTCGCAGATTGTTTGAATAAAAAAAAGGCTGGATTCCTGCGAGTCCATTCACTGTATTATGTGATATGATATAATATCAGTGTTTCTTTTGCTGCTTTACCCTAGAAGCTTATACATCCTTTAGGGTTCTCACACAGTTGGAATTTTCATACTTTTCCATACCCCAATTTTTAGAATTACTTTTGGAAATAACTACTTTTCTACATTAGAAAAAAAACGATTTTTTAACTGTTGTAATAGCCTGGAAACATAAATATTTTCCGTACTTTATCTTTCATATTCTATACTTTTTAAGACCTGGAAATTGATCAAATTTATTCCATACTTTCCATACTTGCATAGGAACCCTGATCCTTTTGCCTCTAGGGCTGGGCGATAAAACGATAACGATATATATCGAAAATCTATTTCCCTCAATATCAATATATAAATCATGGTCAATATGCTTTGCAATAGTCAGTATTCTGCCATGTTTTGGTAGACTATATGAATAGTAGGGCAGGGATGATATGCTTTTCTCCCGATTCGATTCCTCTACGATTCTTTGGATGTCGATTTGATTTAAATTGCGATTCTACAATATTGTCGATTTATAACGCCAGTGAAACAGTTGAATGATTATGATTGTCTGCTGACTATTCCAGGAACCATATTTCCCCAAAAAATACACAAAACATATAAGTCAGTTTTTAAGATTTATTCTTAAATTTGGGGAAAAAAAAAAGATCTTTATCATAAAAATTGATCTAAAAAGTGTAAAACAAAAAAATAGCGATACTTATGTGAATCCATTTTTTTCTCCCACCCTGAATGAATAGCCAATGAAAAGGGGAGTTTCTCTGGTACCGCTAAGCGTTGAACCAATCGTGTGCTGAATAAGAACCAAGGAGCAAACAACTGCGTAATAGCAGGCAGCAGCTACACACAACCAGAGCACTTTTACAGTGCAACGCCTTACGACGAAACATCGAAGAGACACAAAGACCTCACAGATGTAGTAGCTTATTGTATTGCAAAATACATGCTACCAATAAGCACTGTTAAATTTCATTTTTTAGATTGTGATATATATCTATATCGACTGAAATGAAAAAAATATATCGTGATAGTTTTTTTTCATATCGCCCAGCCCTATTTGCCACACACCTCATGGTTTTGTATTTTGTGATCTTAACTGTGCATGCCTGCTGATCTAAAGTTTGATGTTATATTATAATCACTGCAATGCAATACTCTTAAATGTTATATTTGTGTATGAAAAACTTGTAACAATCTAATCAGGTGTTTTTTTCTTGTTTTTGTTTCCACAGTGACAAATAAGAAGCCGTCATTTGTATCTATTACCAAGGTGAAGCAGTTCCAAGGGTCCACTGCCTTTGTGAAAAGATCACAGTGGACAGTCGACCAGCTACGGCAGGTCAATGGCATTGACCCGAACAAAGTATGTAACTTTGAGTGGTGTTTATTTGTTCAGTGCTGCAAAGGGAAAATGAGAGTGAACGTCTCTTTTCCTGCGCTTCTCTTGCTTCTATCTTCTCCCAGGACTGTCCAGAGTTTGACCTGACATTTGAAAATGCTTTTGACCAGTGGGTCGCCGGATCGGCAGGAGAGAAGTGCACCTTCATCCAGATCCTCCACCACACCTGCCAGCGTTACAGCGCCGCACGGAAACCAGAGTTCGTCAACTGTCAGTCCAAACTGCTGGGGGGTAAGAAAGTTAAAATAACCCACTGTGCTAACTTTCATAATCTTCCTGTTGAAACACCGTGACACATTAATGCCACACTGTTGTCATACTGTGCTGTAAGCCAGTCTGAATCTCATTATGCATGATGACAACCAGCACCTGGTGTGTATGAAAATGCATGCTTATTCCACGTAAACAGCATCTGCTGAGGTGAGGTCGCTGAGGATAGCCAACAATATGTCACTGTTTTGACACAGATCAACTGGTTTAAAGCACATTATACAACAATATATAATCTCTCTTAATCTCTGTGATGTTGACACTTTTCATTGTGTGCCTGAAGTGTGACTCTCATTACTTTAAATGACTTTCCATCCCTAATAATTCTATAAACATCACAGTAGGAGCTGTGGAAATCTCTTAATTATAGACGTGGTTAATCAGATTTGTGACTGTGTAAGTCAGTGTAACCTCTCCCTTTGGATATAATATAAAATAAACTTTATGTCCCACAAATGAAGAACTGTTTCTAAAGGCAAAAGAGATGTGAAATGTAAATACAGAGGTAAAATCTATGTTTGTTATCCGGCGTGGAAAGGATTTGGTGCTGATTTCCTGTATGTGACAGGGTGCAGAGAAAGCAGCACTCCCCGCAGCTTAATCAGATATTGATCTGTTTACCCCCGGCTTCATCTTTGAGAACAATTCATCCTGTTTTATTATTCATGGAATTATTCATGGAAACACTTCCTTAAATATCTTTTTGTGTAAGTTGTCAGTCTGCTCACATATTCAAGAGTCAATTACTGGAAGCTAATATCTGAAGAAAAAAACAAAATTGGCTTCTTTGCAGGGAATTCAACATCTAATCTAACTGCACTACAAAGTCCAGTAGCAGCCTTGCGGGCGGGGAACATAACATGGATTTTACAGAAATTTCGAGGAGATTTATAGTCAAACAATAACTCCTAAAAGTACTGATCGGACACTGCAGACATTTATTACACATAAAACTCTCTGTTTCTCTCTCTGTGTTGTAACCCGCTGTCTTCTCATTGATAATAAATACGTCTTTTCTCTTCAAAATTCTGTGAAGTTGCTTTGACCTTCCTCCCACTCTGTCAGCCATTTCCATTTTTAACTTAGTCGAAGCGACCCGGGTGCGAGCTATAGTCTCGGTTTGTGTAGGCTGGGAGGTAGTGGTGCCCCAGAGAGCTCTGAACCCAGAGGTCTTTAGAGTGCGATGGATTATACAGTGCAAATGTTGTATATCAACAAACACGCCTTCTTCAGTACTGCATATTTAATCTTCAGCAAGTCAACTTATTGCTCAGAGTAAGATATTCCCCATTAACGAACACAGGGTTTCCCATATATAAAGTCCCCTTAAAGAACCAAACGCCGTATTGATCCGGCTATTGACGCAGGGCTGTTAAGTACATCTGGCCACTGATTTGCTAACAGACTCTGGGCCCTTAGTGAGTGTTGGACGCGCATTGTGACAGGGAGAACAGACAGGATGCCAGCCTGCTGCCAACTCTGTCCACTCCAGTTTAAGTCTCACACCAGTGCAAAACAAAAATCATGACGCTGCTCAGGTGTGGGACCATAACTGTGGGGAGACTTTATCTGCAGAATCCACCGGGATGGCAGCTGTCAGAACTGAGCGTAGCTCTGCGCACAACTCTTTCAGTGACCCATCAGTACCGTTGTCGGATAACAAAAAGGGACATGAGTTCAGGGAGTGAGATGCGGAAGAAAAATGAATGAATGTAATACGAGTGTAGCTCACAATTCTCTGGGGTTGTTTATTCCCCGTGTGTGTTTACTAGAGCTGTCATAACAATATCATCAGTGGCGTGTGATGCCAACAGCTTTCTTCGCTTGAGCTTAATCTTGCACCGGGTCCCCGGGCTTATCGCATTACTACAAGAGGTCCTGTCAGTCTTAAGCAGCTCATAGTAATAGACTGCAGACATGTACCAGCGTCTCCATTGCATCTTATTTGGAGAGTTGATACGATGATGCCAAACAATTTAAATTAAACTTCTGAATGAAATTAAATCCAGTAAAAATAATTTAGTGTCTGGGATTGTTTTTCTGTACACTTGTGTCTCTGCACATCCATCCCCCTGTGTTTTGTTTCTGTCCGCTGACATTTTTATGTTATTTTGAAATAACGCAGCAGAGTTAGACTCGTTTCTGAGAACCATGGTGTGGAGATACACGGGCAAATATTTGTGATCCCTAATGGGGCGTGTAATTGGTCAGGATATAAAGCAGCTAATGCTCTAATTGCCTTGTTATCGGCCTGGACTATTTCTGCTGGCCTTAATGTTTACAGTGTTACGCCCTGGTTGGTACCTGAGCTTTTCTCTCTCCCTGGGAAATATAAATATATTGATTCTATCTATATGTGGAATTCTTGATCTATGAGCCAAGTGGTTTAATTTGTCGAAAAGATTTTCATCCTTTGAGAAAGTTGGAGCATAAAAAAACATTAATAAGGACAAGTTTTATTAACTAGTCACAGTTCCCTCCATTTAATAACTTTATTTGACCCAGGTGTGGAATAATAAGCTGATAACCAGTGGTGCCTTTTATGATTGCCAATTAACAAAGTCTATCATATAATAATCCCTAACCATGACCCTTCGTGACTAATTTCACAACTATGTCATGATTTTATGATTGAAGCTGACAGTGACCTTTGATATTTTTTCATCACAGAAGACCAGGATGTAGATTCTTTGTTTTTACGCTGCAAGGTCTATTTGAACAAAAAGAGGAAAGAATTTGTTGCGCGCCACGGTCATCTACTAAGACAAGGTAAGCTGGTGATCTAGTTACTCAAATACCTGGACTTTGTTGGAAAATTTAGTTCGAAAAAAAGATTAAGCTCTCCAGTAAATCAAGGTGATAGTAAAACAGCAAGTATTCCGTCATTGCATAATCCGACATTCTTCATTTGGACTTTTACATGCAAGGCTATCTCCCTTTATCTGGAAGTCAGCCAATCATATACAAGGGTAACAGTGAACACAGTGCAAAATGAACTTTGGGGACTTTGATGACCTAGGCTGTCATTATTGGTTAATATTTAGACATCTTCTCTCGGCTGTATTTCCACTGACGTCAATATCATTCTCAATATCATAGTTTTTGTTGTCACTGTGAAAGTTAAACACATGTTCATGGAGATTTTAAGTTAATGTCCGAAAATTATTATAATTTTTAACCTTCAGACTGTATGCAGTCACTAATACTGTGCAGAAGTAAACCTTATTTTTTACTTACGGGGAAGTAATGCCATCATTATTCTTCACTTGAGTCACATTTGAACTTTTTTAAGCTTAATCAAGACTATAACTGAGGAAAACGTGGCTGTTTAACGCATTGTGTGACGATGACACTTGTCTGCTGATGAATCCATCTGGAAGGTGTGTCGGCACTGACGGTTCGACTTGTGCTCATTGCTGTGTCTCATCATGCCGGTCAGAAAAAGGCTTAAGGAAAGGCCCTGGGACCAGATTGAAGGCCAAGTGAGCAAGAGAAGTCAGACCCTTAATGAATAATTTATGAATAAATTATTAAGGTAAAGTGAGATTTATCCCTTTTTTAAAGAGTTGAGAACTTCATTCATTGTCATTTCATGCGAATGCAAAAAGGACTAATTACTGAAAGCAAGATGGACCAGCGCAGTAATGCCGACCTTTTGGTTTATAGATGAAGACAGCTGAGAAAGACCTGGTCCCTGCATGCTTGGAAGAGAATGGTATAGTTGGAGGACATATGTGTCACATTATACATACTTTAATGGGAAGGAGCAGTATTGTAAAAGGGGCCAATGAATGATTACTACATGACTCTGAAAGCACAGGTGAAGAAGAGAGCTGCTCTGTTTAATAGGTGAGGAAATGACCATGGGAAAAGAGAGGGAAGAATTACCCACAGAGGAGAATAACTGCAGGGAGGATGTGGAGGACAGAGATGGGATAAAAAGCTATTGAGAGATAATAGGTGTATGTCAGGAGTGCCGGGGGGAGGCGTCTTCTCTGGTTGAACTTCTGTTATAGTTTCCGGATGCTGCTGCGGATAATGTCAAGATTTGCATTAATTAAACTGCAGGGGGGTTCGCTGTTGCAGAAGGAGCTGCAGAGTTGATTTACATTTATTCATTTCTTATTGAATATCTTTCTCAGTTTATACATCATAGTGGGATGTATTATCCCTATGAAACTGTCAGACCGCATCAATTCTTCGACTCGGCTTTATTGAGCGTTAACTTGTCTGTCCAGGTTTCTGTGTGTCAGAAAGTGAGTAGCTTGAAAATAAGCTTTTGTTCACATACTTTCGGCTGTAACCTTGATAAGAGGAATGTTATCAAAATCCTACACCAGAGAAAGATTAAAGAAGGAATGTTTTGTATTATTGAAAGCTTTTTTGGCCTTGTCCTTCATACCATCATCATGATTTAATCTGAAAATATCTAACTGTAGAGCTTTGTACCTCCAACTTTTACAGAAGTCTTTCATAGAGACCTTTCAGCTCAGCAAATCTCAGAGCGAATTGGTTCGTTTGTTGATTTAAAAAAGTGTCATCCCCTCATTAGATTTATCTAATCTTGTTTGTCTTTTAGAAAACCTCTAAATCTGCTGTAATACAAGCAAAAGAAGATGCCTCGAAATTGTCTCTCACTTTCGCAGAAACTGTGGAGAGTAGGTAGAAAATAACCCCAATTACTGGGTCCTCAAAGTCAAGAGGCTGTAGATACACGTAGGTTAAACCCTTGACAGAATTCGTCATGTGTTTCTCTGTCGCCTGAAGCCCTGTGGTGATTTCAGGGTAACGAGGGAAAGTTTTGATGGCACTTGTTGAAGGGCTGACAAGTATGTGCTCTCCAATGCCGAGCAGAAAGTCAACCAAGACGAGCGCCCCCTTCAAACACCCACACACACACACAGCATAAGCACAGTGATAATGTGATCAGAGTGGAAATGCTAAAGGCGCTGTAGCATGTACTGCTTGAATGGCTCTTTTTTGTGGAGGTGTGTTATGATCTGGAATTGAATTATCCTAGTATCTAATAAATGCCATATGCTTTTGAGAGTAAATGTGACTTGACTGTTGGGATTTCGCTAAGTGTATCTGACATGCTCCTCTTGATAACCATCAGCTTATTTTCTCTCGGGCTGAAGCAGCCCAGCCTGTAATCTACAGCTTACAGCGAGATGAAGTCGACTCTGACTGAACTTTACCCTTCCTTGTTATGTTTGTCTTTTCTCAAAGTTCCTTCTTTCTGGAATATTTTGTTGCCAGAAAACAACTTTCCCTTTTGTTCTTCCTCCATTGTTCAACAAACCCTGGCCTTTAACGATATCAGGGGGTATAGCAACAAAATTCCTCCTGCATTGTTGAGAGAGGCGTGTTAGGGATGGACAAGGTTTGGCCTCTTTCTCTTGGTTATTCTCAGTCTACCGTGTAAGACCTAAAGGATTTTTTTGTGTGTCGTACAAGGAAGAACTTTAACCTCAGTTTTAATGCCACTAATCTCCCGCAGCAACATAAAAGACCTGCTCTTATCCCAGCTCGTAACAATCTGATCTGCTCTCTGAGACTAAGACTAGGGATCGCAGCATAACATAATCTACACCTACACCGTGTTTCATTCAGTTCCCGGTGCTGCAGGCTCCCTCGCATCATCTCCGCCGCGCTTTCTCTGTAATTACATTCTCCACTGGGGGAGCCCACGCCACAGCCTGCTGCTGATCAATGAGAGCCGAGAAGCACAAGATCCAAAGAAAAGAAAGGGTGCACAGACAAACAAAGGGAGATGTTCTCTGCCTGCACAGTGTGGGGGTGCTGCTGTGAGGGTGGGGGTCATGTGGCGGATGATTGAAATATTACTCTCAGGCTGCTCGGGAGTAGAGGATTAAAATGGATCTTCTTAAAGGTGAAAAAGTCTTTTCCTTTTTTTGGAGGTGTATATTTTAAGTAACAGCAGGGTGGGGTTAGTCTATAAAGAGCAAAACTCGCTTTTGTACTTTATAATAATCAGACATTAGCTATATTTTGCTAATGACTACAAAGTTCATTAGCTGTGTTTACATGGGCACAATAATCAGAATAAAAATGCGTCATGTAAACATGTCGATCAGAAGATTCTGATTGAATTCGGCTCAACCGAAAAGAAATTGTATTCCAATCGAGAGAGGTGGTTTATGCCGATCGTTATTCTGAAACGCATCCATGTAAAACTCTTATTCCGATCATGACTCTCTAACTGACTCGATCACCACTCCTTATTTATTGATGCCAGTACAGGAGGTGTCATTACTCACTCTGACATAAGCATAGACTGTTTATGCTATGGACAGCTTGGTTCCGCTTTCCACCAGTATATGGATTTGAAGCCGAAAAGCTCTCTCCAACATTGTGCAGTAGCATTGTGCATGTTCAGCGGGAGAGTCGCAGAGAGTCGCTGAAATGACGCTCGGCTCAAACAGCGTATCCCCCAGCTGAGCTATGCATCAAGTGTCATTTATAGAAAACATGAACCCCCAAATAACTTTTAAAAATGGAGCTGCAAAGAAAAAAAGAGGACTTGAGCACAAACCAGTCTTACAGTAACTACATGTCAACACTGCAAGCAGGGGGGAGAAAAATTTATATTCTGAGTACTAAATCTCAAAAGTTTGTCCACAGCTCCATGAGCTTTGCTGGCGGAGGCGGGATTTATGACCTATACTGCAGCCCCTCACCAGAGGGTGCTGTTTTCAGAGTGGCTTTACCCAGCGAGGAGGCGAAATCAGAAAACTCTGCGCATGTCCAAATAGTTCTAATCTAGTGACAACATTTAACAGGGGGAAACTCCTGAATTGGATGGAGTGAGCCACTGCTGCGCACGTCATAATCAGATTATATATAAACAGTGGATTCAGATTATTTGATCCCTCAAATTTTCAGTCGATTCAAGAAATGTAAACGTTGCTCGTGACAAAGAAAGAGGAAGTATCAGTGCAGCTCACTGTGTGGTTGGCTTTTTGTAATCCCTGAAAAAGCGATGATAGGACAGCCTTGTGCTTGTGCGCGCAGGTGTGGGTAAACATCTATACCTCCTCCTTCTCCTGCCTGCAGCACGGCCATGTCTCTACACAAACTGCTTAGACTTTATCAGTAAGTAACTCTATTTTGAAAGAACACCAGCTGGTCTCACAGTCTGTTTTTTTTGGATGTCATATAGCCCACTGCAGGAGAGCCGACCCAATTATCTGTCACTCAGCCTACCTGTCTTGATGCTGTGGGACGCACACTCCCGATATTGCAGTTTTCTGTGGGAGCAGATAGAATCAGGCTTGTCAAGTCTTCATACACTCAGTACCTTCGAGCTTTACTCAGTCTGTTCCGTCCTCGCTAACTTATTTATTGTATATTTGACCTCGGAAAAATCGAATCTAGCTTCCTCTTAGATGGTGTTTTTTTACTCTTTGCTTGTCCACATTTTAAAGCTGGTAGTGTGATTGTACAGTACTTTGTGTATTATTAAATACATAAATGTTGTTGCAGTGCATTTAAAACAACTTTGTATAACTTTTCCAACACATACAGAACAGTATTCAGGTCGCTTAATCAGAAGGTAACAACTTTAAGAATAATTCAGGTTGTTTCCAAAACTAATTTTCTGTTTTCACATCCATCAACATAAAAAGCTCTCGACTGAAACAATGCAGCTGCCAATAAAGAAAAAGCATCAGGACGATCGCTGTACTCAGTCTGTTGGCGAGTGTGCAGCACAACAGCAGCACTCCTGACGTGCTGTGGATTAATGGCTTGTCAGTGGAAACATCCGCAAGGCTGCCACAGCAATCGGAAGATGTGTTTTCTGTCTTCTATCCACTCCTGGGTCTGCGGGGCTGCCCATGCAGCCAAGCATATCTCCTCTCTTTATTACTCTACAGTTTAGGAAAGTAGGGGATGATTGCAGGGCCAGCAACATAAGTTTACAATTGAAGAAAAGCAGTGGTGAATGTCAGCAGGGATGATGCTTCAAAAGAGACAATAAATCAAGAGCTACGTGTCTTGCTGTTTCCCACTTTGAAGTTTGAAAAGGTTAATTTCACTTGATCTTTCCTTGAGGTTAATCCACTTTGAAGGAATCTCATTAAGCCACCTTCCCACATTACACCTGATGGATGCTATTTACTGTTTCATGTTGTCCCCAACTATTAGCACTAAAGCTCAGGGTCACTGATTAAACTATGCACAAGCAATGTCGCAGTTCCTTTCCTCCCTGCAGCTCACCTACTTCTGTTGTCCACTACAAAAATAACACTTAATTCTTCTCCTCCTTCTTGTCTTTTCTCTCCTCTTTTGTGTCCTACTTTGCTTCTCTCTTCTCTTTCTCTTTTTTTTCCGTGCCATGTTGCCCTCCCACCTTCATCCGCAGGTAACAGTATACTGCACACAGCAGCCGACAGCGTGACGAGCGCCGTACAGAAGGCCAGCCAGGCTCTGAATGAGCGCGGGGAGCGATTAGGCCGGGCGGAGGAGAGGACTGCAGACATGATGAACAGTGCCGAACAGTTTGCTGTCACTGCACACAAGGTGAGACAATATGCTAGTTAGTTATATTGCAATGCACAGCTTCAGGGCGGGGTTACTGCATGTAAGCTCTTAAGTCATGATTGTGGAGTTATGATGAATTCAGCCATAGGATCAGATATTTTACTTAAACCCAAAGATACTGAAAGAGCTGCTTTATTGTGACTGGAGCCCATCAGCTGTGGCGCTTGCTGTTTCCCAAAGATAATAGCTTTCTTCTTCTTCTTCTTCTTCTTCTTCTTCTTCTTCCCTCATTTACTCTATCTTTTTACTTCTCTGTAGGGTGTTCTCTCATCCTCCATGTGTCTCATATCTCTTGTTTTTCATGAAAACTAATTGCATGCTGTTTAATGAGGCCATTAACATAATATCATTTTTTTTTTTAACTGCAAAACACAAGAAAAAAAAATCCATTGCTCTGTAATGAGCGCACCTGATTACGATCATAGCAGCCTTCCTAATAGCACACAATATATCAGATGCCTCTGCGTTTTCAGCTTGGCTTCTCCTGCCATGCTGATCGTGCACAGAGAGACAAGAGCCATCTGAACTAGGATGTCAATGATTTTAATGGTGCAGCTATCCTCTCTCTATTAAAATGACTGTTTTTATGCATAATACAATACTAGTGATGGCGGGGTAATTGAAAGACGTTTGCAGAGCCATGCATAGCCCTCTTACTGCTCACAGACGAGCTCCCCTGCTGTGAATGAATTACAAAAACGGAGATATGTGCAGGAGCTCTGGTGGTTTCAAGAGAGAGCGACTGTGTAACTCCATGAAGAATCCCTCATTTACTGCCATTAGCTGTTGTATTTTTTGTAACTCATCCTTTATATTACTTCTTATTATTGAACCCCATAATGTCTCGTTCTTGAAACCCTCCGTTAAAAGCGGTGGAGAACAGAGTCTTTCCTGACAGAGTAAAAGCACTGTCCACATTTCTATCCATTACATTCCTGTCTGGAGAGGACTTTTACGACGGCTTGACAGGATGTACTTAAACGATTCTTTGACTTTTCGAGTCATCTGCATGAGTTTTAAGTGCACCGCTGAATGCTTAAAATTACAGCCAAGTGCAGAGCTAATCTTCTGCTTCGCTCTGACAGGGTCACCTTGACTCTTTTTCTTTTTGTCCAACTTTCTGTGCCTGACTTTCTGACAGACAATTTAGCCGCACAACTCCAACAATCAACTCCGCTCATCTGTGGGTGCTGCTCTGCTGCCCCCTCTTGTTCAGTTTGCAGAATTCAGCTCTGCTCTTTCTTTGCTTGTAGATTTCATACCCACTCTGTTGTCTGTGTGTGAGTAGAAGTGCATGTTGTGTATCTGTATCCAGTTTCTTCCTCTCGTATCAGAAGCCTTGGTCATCTCATCTCTCTAACAAACCTTCTGCTGTACCATTTAAAACCTTGTGAATGCCAGAAATTGACTTTTTTAATAACAAACACCCAGACTAGCAAATACCTTCCAGCACCTGTATAGTTTACCCTTCTAAGCAGCTTGAAGTAGTCAAATTTGTGCCTCATATATCTTCATTTTATTGCCTGTGACTTTTCAGAGACAGTCAGTCAAATCTACTGTACACATTGTTTATATCTAGATAATATTTTTGTGATCAGGTAATTAAAATTTCTTGCTCTATTATATCTCAACCCCCACCCCAATTTTTCTGCAGCTTGCCATGAAGCACAAGTGTTAAACCACTGCCAAAACCAACTGGGTGGGGGGGCGGGGATCAACAAATCGTCAGTCGCTGTACAGGAGAAGGATTCCAGACTTTATTCTTTTTAAAAATTTAATATGATTACTATTTGTTAACAAGGTTAACATTTTGATGATTTTGCGTTGTGTTCTGATGCATCTTCGGATGGTGACGCATCGAGCAGAAGGGGAGGAAGAGAGGTAAACAATCCTACAGCAGAATGTTTCATGTTTCTGTTTGCCAAAAAAAAAAAAAGCAGCAGCTACGACTGAATTTTATAAACTCAGACACTGAAAACCCTTGGACTTCTCATAGACACGCAGACGCTAATGCGACTGCACACATGCTGACAAGTCATCATCAGCAATCAATTCAAGATGAGTAGCAGCTTGTCTTACAGGTTATAAACCATTCAAAGGTTAGTTATTTATGAGCACTGCAGAGATATTCAGGCTCATTTGAGTGACTGATCCTCTCATGAGTTTTAACTTATGATAGACGTTTAACAAACAGAGCTAAAGTTAGCTGGGATTAACTTTCATAATGCTTAAGTTTAACCCGAGTAAGTATATGACAGACATAAAAGAATAATCCTATTTTTGAATAAACTCATTTTACCTTAACATCAAGGAATCTGCAGGTTTGATTTAATGAAATATTCACGTCTGAAATACTTATGTCGCTCTAGAAATTTGTGGATATTGCGGTCTACAGCTCAGCTCTTATGTCCATTGTTTCAAAATAAAACAAAAACAGTATTAATTCAATCGTTTTCAACATTTTACTTTATAAATTGCATTTGAGACTGAATGGAGTGACGGGGGAGGATATACTTAAGACAACAGTGAACTATAATATGTTATCTGTCAGACTTGTCTAGCACTCATATACAACCAAAACTACATGGTCTACATTTGCCAACATTTTTGAAAGTGTACTTGAAAAATTGTGTTTTAAAAATAAGCTTTTTAAAGTGAAATAATTTATGTATAGGGGAACAAAGGTGCAATTCAGTCAACCAGCTTCTGCGTTGTAAAAAGCCAAACTTGTAATTCCACAGTACTATATCTCAGTGTCTGTAGAGCTAATTTGTCCCATGACTGTGGGATGTTTTTAGATTACTCCTCACTGTATCTCAACCGTAGAAATCCAGTGAGTCTACCTTCTGCTTTCAGTATGATTTAGGTTGGTTCCTATAATGATGTGTGCACAGGGGTAAAATGTCTTAAATGTCTGCAGCAGCGGTGTGTAGTAGTGTATTTTTGTGTCATTGCTCTCACACTGACTGTAACTTTGGCTTCCTCACTGGTAAGAAAACCACCATCACAACGAAGGTGTTTTTGATTTGTTCTTTTATATTTTGAATTTTATAATTCAAATTGTTACGATGCACCGATAACCTTATCTTGCTGAGCACTGTTGAGTTCCAGTTGCCTAACTGTTATTGTGCTTGTATCCTCTCTTTTAACACTTTGGATGTTTCATTGTTTTAATAAAAAGTAGTATGAAAATGTGTGTCCTTTTGATGCCCAGCTTTAACAGTCTCATCAAACTATGAAGTCACATGTTGTACATTTATTTTAATGGGTGTTTTTTTTTTATCGATGTTGCATTTGTATGTTTTACTGACATGGATTTTTCTGGACTCGTAAACAATAAGCTGCCAAAAGCTTATGTGAGTTTCTCTGTTGTGCTGCTTTAACAATGCTCACGCCACTCTGATCTCACTTCTCCATCACAGTGAACGATATCAAATAAAGTCACATCCACAATCAAAATAAAATGGTTCTTTATTAGTGCCTTTTGCTGTGTACCTTTCACCTCAGTCGGTGACGTATTTATATTGTCTTGCTTGAAACCCAGGGTAACAGACGAAACTTGAGTGAGTTTTCGGACTATTTGATAACTTTGAATAGTTGAATTTTATCTGCATGCCCTCCACTGCTGATCTGTTTCACATGGTCGAACTTGTTTCTTGTGTGAATATTTGATTTAATGCAGAAAAAAAAACATTTTAAACAACCTATCAAAGACTGTATTATAAAAACAACAACAATAAAAGATGTGCCATTGTCCCCCTTATACTCGTTACATCCCCTCTGTTACTATAAAGAAAGAATTTTGGTAACACTTCACTCTCTCTAAAACATAAATATATGTATAATGTGTTATAATCATGTTATAGCACTGTATAACTATAGTTATAAACACTCATAAATGATCATAATGCTTTATAACAATAATCATAACACATTATAAAGCTTTTCATCATGACTTACAAGGTAAGATATTATACTGTGTTGTGCTTATAGTTATAAAGCCTTATGATAATTAATGAGTGTTTATAATGATAGTTATACAAGTTAATATGTTTGTATAGTTAATATATATGTTTAATGCATTATCTATGTGGACATTGTCAGTAAGTTGTTAACTGTTATAACACATAATTCCTGACCTTGTAAGTCATGATAAAATGCTTTATAGTGTGTTATGATTATGGCTATAAAGCATTATGGTAATTTATGAGTGTTTATAACTAAAGTTATCCAGTGCTATAATGTGATTATAACGCATTATAAATATATTTATAATGCGTTGTAGAGATAGACGTCAAGTAAAGTGTTATTAGAATTTTTTATTTGTATGTTGATTCACAGTTTACTCCTTTAAACTTTATCAGAGATGAGTTTGTGGACACCGCCAGTCCAGGTCATACGCTCAGACTCTCCTCTTGTCATCTCCATCGACTCCCATTTGTGCAGAGGGTGTGTTGCTCACACCAAAGATGGCGGCCACGACTACAAAAATTTCATAGAAGATATTTATTTTTTTATTTGAAAGACTGATTTTCTTTCTTTCTTTCTTTCTTTCTTTCTTTCTCTCTTTCTTTCTCTCTTTCTTTCTCTCTTTCTTTCTCTCTTTCTCTCTCTCTCTCTCTCTCTCTCTCTCTCTTTCTTTCTTTCTTTCTTTCTTTCTTTCTTTCTTTCTTTCTTTTTCTTGCTTTCTTGCTTTCTTTCTTTCTTTCTTTCTTTCTTTCTTTCTTTCTTTCTTTCTTTCTTTCTTTCTTTCTTTCTCTCTTTCTTTCTTTCTCTCTTTCTTTCTGTCTTTCTTTCTCTCTCTCTTTCTTTCTTTCTTTCTTTCTTTCTTTCTTTCTTTCTCTCTCTCTTTCTTTCTTTCTTTCTTTCTCTCTCTCTTTCTTTCTTTCTTTCTGGACAAATAGACGATCAGTGATGATCTTAACCAGTCTGTCCATCCATATACAGCTTTTCCCTTTACAGATCTTTTACGTTGACTCAAATATGTAGACCAGAATGAAACACACAGTACTCTACAGCCATGAGACCAGCAGAAATTATTGTAATTAAAACTGAGGGCTTATTCCCTCATATCTCATTAGCTCCAATGTTGCAGCCTGGAATTTCCTGCTCTAAAGCCTCTCTGTCTCAGCCTCCCCATTATGGTGTGTGACCTTGTCCTGCAAACGCCATACTTCGTGCCCTTGCTTCATAGTTTGACTGAAGGCATTTCTAGGGTTGTAGCCTGAATGCCACATTAAATCCTTTTCAAATCTTGATTAATGCCTGTATGCAGAAGAAAACTGTCCCTTATTAGTACTTCAACTATTGCTTTGTCCCTTACTATCAATGAATATCTAACCAAATACATCTGTGAGAGCTGGGGCTTGAGGATGTCATGTTTGATGGCAGGTTGGGTTGAATTTGGCGGCTCTCATAATGGTAAATATCTAATGTAATGTCCACAGCCTGGTTTAGTTTACACAAAGTACTCCTTCAATTGTTTTTAGACTTTCAGTGTTTGGAAAATAGATACCAATAACATCCAAGATAATGTTTGATTTGTGTTGCACACATACCCCCACCCTATTAGTATTCAGTGTACACCTAAAATGGGATATCTTAATGCAGCCTTGCAGAACTAAGACCCTGAGCTTTAAACAAATCCCTTACAAAGACTTAACACAGGTACAGAAGAGTCAGCTGAGCAGAAATTAATCTTATCAAAACATCTCTGTAAGTCTCCCCTTCCTCGCCGTCTTAATCGTATTTAAATTTTGTAATTAATGATGCAGACCGATCCATCAAGCAGGAGACCTGTAGGCTTAATAGCAGTGCTGAAATGTATGATCTATAGCTTTTAGTGCTGCAGGAGGGGGAAGCGAGTACCTCATAAAAGCCCCGGTGTAGATCTCTGCTGCCATTACTCACTCTGCCAACTCCTGTGAATCATTCCTGGTGTGTTCTCAAAACCCACCTCTAATCCCTCAGCTCTCCTTTTTTCTTTCCCTCCCACTTCAAGCAAGACTGAGCCCCTCAAAATCAACACACATGGAGGTGATTGGCTCTAAGAATGTAGCTTACTTCACTGATGTGCTTAAATACACATTTTACATGCATATACCAATAACAGGTGAGTTACATTTGCTCAACACTAGAGGGTGCACTCGCCTCGCATTAACACCCATTAACCTCATCAGGCTTGCTTTATTGCCCCATAGTTTATTGATCAGTAGAGCTGATTATTAGAGTGTAATTTTAGTGCAATGTATACATTGATCGCAGGCTGAAGGCGTGAGTTAAAGCCTGATTGAAAGCTTTTTAGGACCAGTAATTGCTACAGCGATTGTCTGACAGCGGCTTGAGTTACAGTGAGAAAGAGCATGGGGGCAGTGAGGCTGTTAAACATTATCCCATCATGCAGACAGAGCTCAGCACATACCGGTGGAAGTCTTAAGAGATAGATGATAATAGTGAAGTTATTTGATCAGTTTATTACTTTAATTTAGTATTCAGGTTAAAGTAGTAATATTAAACTATAATTATCCTTCTTTTCTAGAAAGACTGTCACCTATATTTGCTGCGAAATCAGCACAATTATGTTGCTTTAAAAGAGAAAAGTTGCATTGCCTCTGTAGCTGTAGATTAATGTTCATTTAGTACTTGGTAAATACACTATTATTTGATATTCTGCAAAAATGTAACTTTAAAATCACTGCATTTGTGTATGTAGAACTTATTTATTTAATAAAATCTTAGCCAAATGCAAAAAAAATGATTAACTGTAAAAGTCAATCAAATTTATTTTGGCTCTAAATTACACTCAGTGGTGTTGGTATTTATTTCATGACTGATCTTCACACAGGACCTTAGAGCGTCCAGTAAGGTGTCACCTTGAGACGTGCCGTGAAATGAATGTCAGCCAGGGAATCAGGAAAGCTCAGTGGCTGCCTTGCTAACTATCTGGCGGGCCAACCGGCCTCAGGGCAACTCCTTTTTAATCTGCCAGCCTCCCCAAAGCTCCACTGGTGTAATTACAAGTTACACCCAGAGGTGAGAAGGCTGAATGAATTGGGACTGCACCTCTATTTCTCATTATCGCATACAAATGTCTGCAATGATTCCTGAGTAGTCCTGTTAGTCTGGCCTGGATCTTACCCCCAAAGTCAAAGTTTAATAACTGCAGCAGGATATTGCCTGCGTCCCTCGGGTACTTTGGAAAGTACGATCAAGGGAAATGTGTTGGAAAGGAGCAAACTGTGAGCACTGAGAGAAAGTATTAGAAAACTTAAGAAATGAAACAGAACAGCTCTACCTTGTTGTAAAACCCATGAGCCGTCTGAGATGACCCGTCCTGTTATTTTTTCAAGTTAGAGAGTTTTTAAAAGAGAAATGTCTTTTAATTATGCATTTAATCTCTCCTTAGACTGCAGTTGAGCTGACACGGAAATCCCCCCTCTCAGCAAGTTAAGCTAATTCAACAATAAAATGAGATGAGTACTTTAATTAGCCAGTCATTCCAAGGTGATAAATAAAGCACAGATCTATCTCAACTATATTATATCCATTTATTATAAACTGTAGGCCCCTAAAGTTCTGGCATCCAGAGCTGATCATACTTTAAAGAGACATGTCAAAAACTGTTTAATCGAAGCAATTATTGAACTATGATAACATTAACTTTGAATCATGTTGGAGTAAATGTCCACTGGCTGTTTTTTCTGTGTGATGCAGCAGTAGAAGTCTTCTCGAAATATGATGTGCACTTCTGAAATCGTTTTTTTGCTGATTTTTTTCTCTTCAGCTGTAACGGCATGTAGAAATTTTATATGACTGCTTATATGGAATGTCGGAGGCAAACTCAGTCTGAAATTTATGTCTTTGTGGAGGAAATATGCTGCTTCCCTCTCCCTTTGTGGCATGATGCTACTTTTGTACATTTCCTGTCGTGGTCATCCATCATGGTTTTTCTTCGGTTGCTGTGTTGCATGTGCATGATTATGCTTCACTCTTATACATTTACTTCCTCAGAAATTCATCTCAAGCACTCGCTGTTGTGATGCTGCATCAGCTTGTTTCTGCCAGACGCTAACTCTTAGTTCCTCCAAGGGGTAAACCAACAGGGGGAACTAAGTCCGCTGTGCTGAGCTTGGTGTATTTGCAGGGGGGAGATGAGAACCCTATAAGCATAAAGGACACAACAGAGTAGAGGCCAAATACCGGCAAGATAAATCAGTTTTATTAGAGTGAATTTATTTTATTTGGGCATAAACATGAAAATACACCATCACAAAGAAAAAGCATGATATGTTTGATTCAAAGAGTTCAAACTATTTGGAAAACTTACTCAAAATGTTGAATCTAGAGAGTGAGCAAGGGAGTTTTCATGCACTCAATGCAATACCGATTAAAGAAATGAATAAGCTGCAACAACTTTTGGGATAACTAGTCATGCAGGTAGGAATTAAGAGACTGTGCTTCTATCTTTAGACACTCAAGAGCTTTGTTAGATGCAGAAGTTTTGCATGTAATGCCTGAATCAATCACTGGTTGCTCTTGGAGTTTGATCATATAAAATAAGCTTTAATTCACTCTTAATAGACAGATCAATAAATGCAAAAAAAGAAGAGGCAATATCAGTTGAACACATTAAAGGTTTGATATAAACATTAAATGTGTGGACAGAGCTAAAGCTGAACTTTAGGTCAAGAGCAGTCAGGAGGAAACACTCCTTCCATGTGATTAAGCATGAGCATGACCAGAGTAAGGAAGTATACCTTGGCT